TCAGCCAGAAGTGCTTGATGCATTTTGTCCCGGTGATCCTAATGACACTGGTGATTCTGAGGTCAAAAATGATCCAAATGATAGTCTGTATTAAATTGTTCATGCATTGAACATTAATACATTCTCTGCATTTTGAACAGAAATGTGAAGAATTTGACGTATAGTTTGTGTGTGATATGAGCCCCTTAACGGGTGGACTCTATTATTGGACCGGAAAACTCTCCGGATATTTATGTAAAACTTCAAATATTTTGAACGACAAAAGCCAAATTTTTGCTATTGTGTGATTTGAGTGCCAAAAAGAACAGACTTTATTTTTGGATCTGAAAACTCTCCCTACATTTGCCGAAAAAAACTCAACAATTTTCAACGACATATAACATGAATATTGAGCAATATGAGTTTCTGAAAGGGTGGAACTGGAAACTTTCACGATATTTTTGTAAAGACTCAAAGATTTTGACCGCCTAATGACAAATAATGCTATGAGCCTCTAAAAGGGTGGACTCAATTTTTTGAAACTGAAAACTCTCCGACGTTTTTGTAAAAACTCAAAGGTCTTGAGCAGGACTATAGAGTAATATGAACCCCAAAAAGGGTGGACTCTGTATATTAATCTGGAAACTCTCCCGGTATTTACGTAAATTCTTAAAGATTTTGAGCGACTCGTGACATGTATATTGTGTGATATGAGCCCCAAAAAAGATGGACTCCGTTTGTGAAAATGAAAACTCTCCCGATATTTCGTAAAAATTCAAGGATTTTGAGTGACTCGTGACCATTGTGGTATGTGAGTCCCTTAAAGGGAGGACTCCGTTTGTGAACTACAAATTCTGAACATTTCTTGTAAAAGATTGTTTTCTTTAAATTGATTGATTGTTTAAAAGATTGTTGTATTTTCAATAAGTTGTAACTGATTTCTAAAATAATAATGATAAAAAAATATAAAAAAATAAAAATAAATAAAAAAAAAACTTAAAATAATGTTTTTTTTACTGATCTACCTCATATAATGCTTCATGTAACATCAAATCATAATGTTTTTCTTAAAAATCTTTTTAGGATACAAAATATTTACTCTTGCATTTTATGTTTGTTTAAATTATCAATATGATATCTTCAAAAGATTTTAAAAGCAATTTTAAGCTTTTTAAGGGTATTAGCTTTTTAAGAATTAATGCAATAAATATTTTAAAGATTTACCCATTTTAATACAGTCCAAAAACTGATGCTATGTCTATTGCCATACATTTTCATATTTTTTCATACTTACATATATTTTTCATAATTTTTCATTTCATGCATTTTTTATATTTCATACGTTTTTCAATGCCTACTTTTTTCATATTATACATGTTCATTTATTCATATTTTTTAAACTACATGTTTGAAATTTGCCTTCTTGTAGGGTATACATATGTATAATGTTTCATGGTTTTTCGATGAATCCATTTTAGTAGTAAATGCTTTTTTACTGTTATAACATGAAGAATTGTATAAAAGTATTCATTTAATCGATAGGATAATTTAACTTATTGAGTTTTTAGTCAAAATCAGAATCTAATCCCGAGAACAAGGAATATGGCGTCATTTTTAATGAGAGTAGAAACTAATTATATGTTAAAACTATATTTTTCCCGGTGAATTTTTTTGTTAAGTTGATTTTTAAAGTGTCTCTTATAATATAAACATACATTAGACATGTTTCCGAAAAATCTACTTTTGATTGCTTCTTTCGAAAAAAAAAATTTATTTAAATACACACTGTATAACACAGTTTTAAGGAACAACAAAAAGTTTAAAAAAAATATTCCTTAAAAATATTAAAATAGTGGTGTAAATTTTTGAATGTAAATGTTTTAAATCTTTTACGAATCTTTAATAATTATAATTTACGATCGTTTTTCGTTATTCAAGAAGAATAGAAAACTAAAGTTACTTTTGTCTTCTATTCCAGATTTTTTCTTTCATATGTGAAAAAGTTTTCCGTAAAAGTTACAAAAATAATAATTAATATCAGATATTCTAATATAGAGTTCGAAATATGATATAACATACACGGAAAAAGAATTCTGTCAAAATTACCTAACTTTTACAGTAAAGACATTTTTAGTGAAAAAAATGGCAACTAAACCAAAATGTTCGGTATTTAAACATACATTTGATGATTTTTCCGTTCGTTATGTCAAACCGAAAAGCAAATTTAACCAAATAAGTTGTTTTAGTACCTTACTCTAAGGTAACATGATAAAATTCTTCTGAACTATTATTTATTTTATATCTATTCAGTAGTTTTATCCTTTTGATACCTATGTCTTTTATCTAATTAGACTCGTAAGAGACCTTATAATCTATTTGCTCTTATGAGTGTGTGTGATTTATTTTAAAATACAATTTACCTAAATGGTTGATAGAAGATATGGTCAACTTAAATTAGACTTTTTTTCGGAAAAATAAGTACCCAAGTTTTTATTTTCATAGAAAAATTTTATGTGTTATTACAAATGATGCCTCAAAACTCCTTTACTCAACTTTTCACACTTCCTCTCTTTTTGAGAAAATTAGAGGGGCAATGATTTAAGGGGGCTTGAATTTCTTCTTAACAGGCAAGTGAAGTTTATTTTCCGATATATTTTCTCCCGGTGAATTTAATAAGAACAATCTCGGGGTGATTTGTCTAAAAGTTATAAGGGTAACATGTACAACTCGTAGTTGTATTGTATTCATTTCTCATCAGATATTACTATCTAAACAAGTTCTAACTATTATTAATAGCTGGGCTGCGATGGCTCAGGGGATAGAGCAATCGCTATCCAATGAAGTGAACCGGCTTCAAATCTCTGCGATGGCTGGTTGATACGAATTTCGCCTCCGGCTTGTACCGACCTCAGTGCTGACATAAAATATCCTCAAAGTTAAATGGATTATAGGTTCCCTTGCCATCAGGTTAACCTCGGGAGATTTTCGTGGTTTTCTTCTTTATATAATGCAAAAGCGGGTTAGTTCCATCAGCGATTCCTCCAAAAAGACTAGAGTATTGTGGCAACCCTAAGTCCATGGTAATATTATAAAACCTGCCACTAGACGCAATACTCATCTCATCCCAACAGTATCTCCCAATACCCAATATCTAGGAGTTCCCTAGTCTTCTGGATTGGATTCAAAGTTACAAGGCTACTGAGTTGAGCATAAGTAGTCGTAAACAGTTGGATCAGCTGGTCAACGACTGTTATTATATTATTAATAGCTGCAGTTGAGAGGGGCATTTGGTGGACAATTTAATGATTGTTAATAATTTTTTGATTCAAAAGTGAACTTTGATATTAATATCAAGTCAAAGGAGAGGTGTCAAAATTTATAAAAACATATACATGTGATAAAAAAATTTTATAAAATATTTAAAAAAAAAATTTTTTTTTTGTCCTTGTTACTCAATACATGGTGTCGCTAAAATTGATAGTAATGCAGATCTGACGTGAACCTTTTTAAAAAATTCTATGCAGTTTTTATTTACTGTATACTATTATCTATTTTTTCCATACACATCGCTCTCCTTTGATTACTAATTATTTTAATAGCTGCGTTTGAGGAGGTCACTTGGCAGACACTTTAATGATTTTTTATAATTTTTTGATTCAACAATGAACTTTGATATAAATTTACACTCAACGGATTAGTGTCAAAATTTCTAAAAATATATACATATTCTAAAAAATATTTCTAATTATTTTTAAAAAACTTCTATATTACTCTTTGGCACTCCATATAGTTAGCACATGTGTCGCTAAAATCGATGATGATGCAAATAAAATATGAAGTCTGGTAAAAAAATCTGTGTCATTTAATACATACTATTGTCTGTTTCAATCAGGATCGATTTACCTGCACAGCGTTACTTGCAGGTATCCCATTGGGCCTGCATTCATTAAAAAATTTCAAAAAAATTTTTTGTATTATTTGTTTTATTATTCGATTTACAGGATCTGATTTACTCTGTCACATGATTTTGTTGTAAAAAATCTTTTTCTCCTTTAACTGAACTGACTTCGGGTATTAAAATCTTTTAAACACTTAGTCTAATTTTGACTATCTTGACAGACACGCAAGCAGAAAAGTGTTTATAACTGTAAAAAAAAAGAGATAGAAAGAGCAGGTTTTGCACTTTAAATTAGTATTCTTCTCGTCCCGCAGTGGACTGATCGTTAAGACACGGTTCCAAGGAGATCACCGAAGTCAAGCATCACTAGCTGCGGTCAGTGTGCGGGTGGGTGACCACTTGGATCAGTCTGAGTAGGGACCAAGGGTGTGCGGTATTGGTCCTCGTTAAACTGTTCTACCGTAAAGTTCTCGACTTCGCGTGCAGGTTATCGAGCTACCGAATCGGGGGTACCATCCCCACTGCAGAGGAACAAAATTGTGATGGCATGTCTTCCGATCAACCTTTGGGATGTTTCCTAGACCGTCGCCAATAGCCCATTGAGCAGCTCTAGTGCAAAGTAAATGAACAACAACAACAACAATTGTATTTTTCTCAGGAACCATTAACACTGCCTGTGATTTAGGAGATTTGAATAAGAACTTCATATGCTCGCATATGCCATTTTTTCGCATGCAGTGAGAATGGCCAAAATTTCCGTAATTGATTAATTTTTGATTATTAAAAATCAAACATTTGGTAAAAGTAAGTGTTTATAATTTATCTTCAATAATTTTCTTTTTTGTTCATCAAAAGAAAGAAATTTTCGTACTCAGGGGCCACTCACAATGCATTCGGTTGCCTTAAACGCGAGGGCGATCGCATACACAAATCGCATACAGCGAGAATGCTCTATTAGTCTTGGTAATTTCTAATGAACCATTCTCGCTTCAAGGAAAATGTGTGTATGAAATGCAATCGCATTTCAGGTCCCATCTTCAAATTCCCATAAGTGATATTTTTAAATTCAGCGGAAATGGTCTTTCTCCGGACCATTCTCAATTATACTACAAATATTTTCATCTACAGCCGGATACAACTCTTTTTTACTTAATTTTCACTCACTATCTGTAACCGCTACATTTTTAAAGTAAACAAAAGCTCAAAATTGTGCTAAATTCGAAACTTATTCTTTTGTTTTTGTTTTTAAAATGATTTCCAACCTTAAAATGCAAAAAATGTTTATTCCTTACAACCATTTAAAAAAGTTTAGAGATAAAAGTATAGCAACTTCAGCTAAACAGTCTATATTTCAGACTAAAGTGTTAAATTCTAGATATAATCCAATAAATATTCAAATGTTATCATCTAGTTTGCACAAACAGATCTTTGCTGGAAAGCCAGAAATTAATATAGATCCAAAAAGTATAGATATAGCAATAGCTCATCTTCGCAAGCATGGCTTGTGGGATGCTGTAAGTAGTATATATAATTAGGTACATATTTATAACCATAATTTTTATTGAATTGTATGATTCTGTTGTAAACAGATATCCCAGTTATCTGCTACAATATTTAATTTCCATTCACTTTGTTTTTTAAGGATGCAACCCATATATATGTTACAGTTATTAAAAATTTTGCTGTATAATATTCTGCACGAAAACTATTACTATAATTGTGTTTTCTGTTAACTCGCTTTCTTATACGGAGATACAATCTTGCAATCCAAATTTCGACGACTAGATTAAGTAATAAACTGAAGCTATGTACCAAATAAAAATTCTAATTTCAATTGTTTCCTGAATGTTACGTGCAAAATGCATTTTTAATTGCAATTCTAGCAATTTTCCAACTAACTATAGTGCTCAAATTTCAAATGGAGCTGTATTCCTGTAAAAATTTTGTTTGTTTACTATTTGGTGAGAGCAAAATTGATTGCCAATTATAAATTTAATTACTTTCTGTCATTAACTAACAGTTACAAAACTAGAATAAAATAATGAAATTAAAATACTGTAAACTACATTTTTCAAGTTAACAAAAGAGAAAATATTCTGTTTTTGTCAAACCTTAAATGAAAAAAGAGCGCTTCGCTCACACAGAAAATTTCTATTACCACCAAAAATTCATGTCTCATCTTTTTAATGTGATGTACCATACCCTTTTCATTTTAGATTTCTCACAATGAATTATTATTTTTGATCGTTATGTAAGAAGTACAATTTTTAAATGAAATACTTATGAGTTTTGAGGACAGAAAAATTATTGAAGTATTTATATTAAATCAGCCTTTCATCCCTTCAGTGGGTCGATAAATGAGTACCATGCTTGGGAACTAAACACTGAGGGTTTCGCGTTTGGCTGATCACCTAACCGGAACATCTGCTCCTGCACCCCAGAGCCCAAAGGTCAAGAAAACTGAGATGGGCACAGTAGACCATGGCCCTCTATGGGCTGTCGCGCCGCTGAGTTTAGTTTATTTATATTAAATAACTTTTACTACATTATCAGTGGTATCTATCTGCACAAATAATCAAGCTTCACTGCTAGCAATAGTTTGCAATTTTTTCACGACTGTCTCAAATAAGTAAGTTCTTAAAAATTTTCCTTTTTTATTATATTTCTACTTAAAACTGTTACATTGTTATATTTTTTAAGTATTCATTTAAACGCAATATAATTATATACTGCCATTATTTAAAGCTTTCTAACTCACCTAGATGGGGGGTTGCACTTTTTTCTATGGTAGTTAGATCATCTGGTTAAGACCATGCAAGTTCTTGGTTCAGACCCTGCCAGTAGTCAGCAAATATATACACCTCCACAATCTTCTCTCTCATCAAGAGCTACTGCACTATTTCGCATTGTTCCCTGATTGAACTAAACAAATTGCCTGGTTTACAACATCAAGGCTCAAACTGTATAAGAGCGACTTCACTTGCAACTATGCAAACTCTTAGTCTTGTGAAATGATGCTGACCGTCAACCATTTAAAGTCTTCTCTTCTTGTTCACTCAAGAGGTAGTGTGCATTAGCCGCTATTTAATGCTTCCTACCTCATCCTGGTTGAAGGTGTACGCTATTCTCCATGATAATTAAGCCATCTGGCTACTACCACAAACCCTGACCCCTTCATATATGTTTATTATGTCATAAACAGAAATGTAACAAATTTTAAGTAAGATAATCATAATAAGTATATTTTTACTTAATAAATATCTACACAATAAATATTTTATTTGCTAGTGCTTGCACAACTGCCGGTTATTGTAATAATTATTTAATCTCAAATTTTGTCAAAAAATGTCTAAGAAAAATGCCTGGATCATAATGTTTAAATTCTCTAAAGCATTAGTACACAGAAATCGATTGTTTCTAAACCCTGTAATCACCATCTCGAGCTGTAGGAAGAAAAAATCAAGTCTGGGCGATCCGAATATTGCACCTCCTTTGCCGTTGTTAATTACCACCTCGCCCTCTGCAGGTTTTCTTTGCATATCTGTCTGCAATGCAATAATTTGCAAAGGCTGCTGTAATTAGTTCTTTTAAGCCATGCACTTTTATAATTTTTGGGTGGCAAAATATTTACGATGAAGTTTAGTTTCTTTTTTACTCTTCTTTTCTGCATTCAAGAGAACTCTAACAGATTTAATATCAAATAAGATTCCCTTTTGCAAATATTGTTGATAAATTTCTCGAAAATAATTTTACAAAAACTTACATCTTACAGAATTGTAAAAAGAGGTGGCTTGATAAAAGAAACTAATGGATAAACTAAATGTGGCATTATAATTTAAATAATTTGAATATGTTTTAATTCTTAAACATCCGAATGTTTGAAACATCTACGAGTTTTAAGATTATTTGAGGATCTTCAGATGTTCAAGGATTGTCATCACCAACATTTATATGTTAAAAGTAATTGTATACTTGTTTTAGAAATTAAATCATAGATATGGTTTAAGGTTTACTTTCTTTAAAACAGAATATCAAAGTAATCGGCAATAGTTAGACGCAAAAGTTTGTAATAAATATAAATGCATTAATTTTTATTCCACATAGCAGTATTTTCACTCGCCTACTAAAATTTCTTACACTTATTGTTATCTTAAATAAATGTTAAGTTATAATGGTGAGACTGCAAAATGACATAGAATCCTTTTTCTGGTGTTAATCCTTTTTCTGGTGTTGACATAATGGAAAGCCTTTGTATAATTAGAACTATTGGAGATAGCATCTAACAATTTATATCTGTGTGTTCTTATACTCTACAAATTAACTGTAACCAATTGAACTCTAAAGTTAGAGCTACTAGGAAGCCTCTAATTTATCCTTTTTACTAACTTATCTACTTTTATCTATTAAAAAGGAATCCAAGATCAGTTTTGCACAAACCCTTTTAACCCACTGGCTAATCAGAAAATGGGCAAACTTGGGAGAATGTTTCTCTCCCATATGTTGTTTCTTTATCTAATAACATGGAAAAACCAGTTTTGCTATGCCTAGAAAACTGCAGGTTAAATTATTAGTTATGTTTATTAAATTAGTTATGTTTCTTTTTTACCTACAGATTCGTCAGTGAGTTAATATTGATAAGTTCTGGTCCTCATTTTTCTCGTAATCATTGCCTTTAGCAAGCATTACTGTCAATATATTAGTTATGTTCTTGTAAGTTGTAGTGGTTCTATTTATACTTTAAAATTTATTTCAGGAAACATCTACTTTACCAGATGTTGACTTTAAAATACCTAAATTATACAAGTCTGATATTCTGGAACATTTTAATTATATTGCACAACAGTTGGTTGGAGATTACAAAAGCTTATTAGATGAGATTCTAAAAAAGGATTTGCCTCCAGTTCCTAAAATTTGGCAACTTTCAGCCGGTTGGATGCAATACAGTGAAACAGGAGAAGCTAAAAGTGTAGATTTTCCTGAAGAAAGTGCTTTAGTCTTTGATGTTGAAGTTTGCATGCAAGAAGGCAATTATCCTACTTTAGCTACAGCTGTATCCCATAAACACTGGTAAGTTAAGTCTAACTACTAAAATGATTTTTATAAGTGAAAAATAATTTAATTGTATTAAATTTATAAATTAATTATTACTGAGTTACAATCTTTGATTACTTTGGCAACAATGACAAATAGTCAGGGAATAATCTTAAAAGTACTCTCTTTTGGCCACAAATCCAACTACCAAGACTGTGAGCACGTAAAGTTGAATAACTCTAGTGCTTTACAGATTTTGTTTATTTCCAGCTTAAAGATAAGAAAAGGGCTAATTTATACAAATTCACAAATATATTGCTTCAAATTTTCATTGACTTACCTCTAAAACTTTATTAACATTTAAATGAATTGAATTTTTTTTTTTTTTAATTTTTATTAACTGCTCTCTTTAAAATAGATTGAGAAGTGAAATTTCTATTTCATGATTTTTGTCAAAGTAATCGCCAAGTTTTAACAACTTTCTGTCAATGGTTACCAAGAAACTAAAAGTAGATTTTGTATTTACTCGACAACAAGCCTTTACATGTATGTGTATATATATATACTTTATAAAAAAAAAAATTGTGAGAAAAAAATTCATTTGGTGCCTTGGCGATTGTAGTTGGCATAACAGACCACGATACTAATATATCTCCAAATGAAAGCTTAATTTTATAATCAAGTTGAAAGAAAAACAATCTTTGGACACTTTCCTTATTTACCAACAATTGTATTTATTAGTTATTCTGTCTGTAATTAACACAGTAGAATCCACTTAAATGAGCCCACATTGAACAAAAGTCTGTATTTAACAAACGAAATAGAATATTTTACTTTATTCAATGTTAGAAATGTAAGAGAATTGACTCTTTAAGTGTACAATTTTTCTCTTTTTCTTACATTTTATGAGGGAAATAAGTTAAGAAAGATAGAACAGTATCAGAAATGATGAAAGGCAATAATAAAAAAATGGCACAGTAAACTATCAACTGTTTAAAATTATTAATTGTATTTTGGCACATAATTATTTTAAAATATGTTTTGATGTCTTTTGTAAATAGTTTGTGTTATTGACCATAAGTTATTTATTTATTCAACCCTTCATTTTCTTAACATATCTAATTAATTCATTTGATGCCAATCACATTTAAGGTTTTGCTAAAAGTGTATTTAACACAGGGGACAAAATTACCACCATCATAACTGTACTATTACTTATCACTATTTAAAAAAAAGCTTTATAAACTCAAAATTATTAAAATTTGTATTACTATAAGACTGTGTGAATCTTATATTAGGATATTTTATATAAATAACTATGATTTGTCCTTACTCGTGTGGCATAAAAATTGAGAGTTAACTAAAGTAATAAAAAAAAATCATAATTTTAAGAAAAATTCTTTAAATAAAGTTTGTCTGCGCCCTCATTGGCGAGTTTGTAATGCGCCAAATGTAGCTTTCTAGCGCTCTCTTCTCATTCAATAAAAAATTACCAAACGTAACAGTCCACTTGACTCTATTAGCTCCGACAAAGTTTTCAAAAATACTTTGGGAAGAAATATATTTATTCATATGCATCATATGAGAAGATAATGACATAAGTTGTCAAGTTTGTAACCATCAATTAATATTTTACCTGCAATTTTTACTTAACAATTTTCACTTTTTTTTTTTTTTTTTTAATAGCAGAAAAAGTGCTGAAATTTTTGTGTTCCTTTTTCCACTGCTAAAAACAATAATCAAAAATAACTGCCTGCTAGTTGTGAAAAAGTAAGAGAAAGAAATTAACTATTTAACCTAACTAAGAAGAAAAAATAATGAGACTTCTATGATTTATATTAACAACATACTTCTTTTTTTTTAAAGAGAAAATTTGTAAAAATTTTAACTATTACATATAATAAATTTTAACAATTAAAACTATTATTTTTTTATTTTCTTTCATTTTTTTTTAACTGAGTACACGAATTAATTATAGTTTTTATGTTTCTATTATTGTAGGTATTTATGGTGTAGTGATAAGCTGGTTGAAGACAATTATGCATTTTCAACAAACATTTCTCTTCCTGATCTCATTCCTATGGAAACAAAAAAAGGAGAAAATAAACCTTCACAAATGAACTGTATCCCGAAAATAGTTATTGGACATAATGTTGCTTTTGATAGAACTTTTATCAAAGAACAATACTTTTTAGAAGTAATTTCTATTTCTTTTTGGATTCAAGCAATTAATATAGCGTAATAAATAATGTCATATGCATTCATCTTGCATATTATCTAATGTGAAAAACAATGCATTTCAAGTTAAACTATAATGGATATGTTATATATTGTAATACAAATTATTAACTTGCTTTGATTTTTACCTTTTTTTTTGTTATAATATTTTTTGATATAATTTTCTGTGTTGACATAAACTACTTATTTTCACTTTTAAAAATTAAAGTAAAACGACTTCATCCATTCTATTTATGCAAAGAAAATAGTTTCAAACTCACCGAATTGCATTTGACTATGTTTTATTTAAGAATACATAAATCATTCATATTGGTAGTTAGCATTATTTTTAATTGATGTATTAATTAGATAGTTTGATTAAATATTTTATTTAGTGATACAATGAAAATAGATTTGGCGGAATCCTGAATATGACTGTGTATGGAAGGAACTCCCCTCACCATTTCTGGAGCAATGGTGATGACTATGGTTATCAGTTTTAACTATTTCGAATGGGGATTTTGGGTCAATGTTTTTCTTACAAGTTTTGGCTCGGGACGGCAAAAGAAAGGAAATCAGGAGAGAGAAAAAGCTCCTCCCTTTAAAATGTGCTATTTCTTATTTCCATTTCAACAGACGGCCTTAAATTTTGTGGCAAGGGGAGTTCTTTCTATGGACAAACATTACTTTGGCATAATCTGCCTATTATATATAATAAAAATGATACTCGTTTTATAAGAAAAATTTAGCTACTTCAACTTCCTTACATATTTTTTATAGTTTTAAATTATCTTATTGTTTAGTAACACTCTGGTTATCATAAATAATTGAAATTACGCACAAAAAGCCTTTTTATAGATCTCTTAATAGTTTGAAACTTGTTTCTCCAAAATAGTCAGTGTAAAAAGTGCTTTTAACTATTTTGTGTGTGATGTTTAGTTATGGCAAACTCAAAACCTTTTTTTTCTTTGCATGCTTGATGTGTTGCGGATAGTGTGAAGTAGTTAAAAGGGCAAGAAGCTTTTTACACAGTCTCATTTATTTATTTTATTAAAGTCCTTAGTTTATGTGTTCTAAGAAGTTCTTGCCGCTTTGATTTTATTAGTATAACTTTGATATTTATTAGGTTTTTTTTATGTGTTTTTTGAATTTCTCAGTTGTGGGTAAAAGTTAACCCATGGTTTAACCTATTACCATAGTAATTTATGTGTTATCTACTGGACATTTCATTGCCAAATTTTTATGTTCTCTTCCGTTTTAAAATTGGGCATAAAGTACACAATTAGTTATTTTGAATGTACTTTATGACCCTTCAGCTACATTATCTGAATTTTGTTTTCAAATTGAGCCAAAAGTTTCTTTCTTATCATTACTTTCCTAGTGAATTACAGGCCTATTAGTGTGATAAAAAACTTTTATGTGCCTATTCAAATTAAGATTTTCTGCTGAATTTTTTTGAAATAATTTTAATGGATAGACCAGAAATATTCAATTCGTAAATAAATTGAATTCAACTGTTATTAATTAAGTGGTATTAATTATTTAAGTTGGGTATGATATATTTCAGAGCTGAATCCTGAAACATTTATATATTTTTTCACTATAAAAATGTAAGTATGAAAATTTTCACTGCATCTTTTACACATTCAACCATATTATTTTAAATAATTTTTTTTTTTTTTTTTAAAGTTCGGGAGGATTCTGAAATTATGGAAACAACTTCAAAAGAAGTTATTGCGTGTCATAAGGATTAAGAATTGCATAGAAACCCCTGACTGGAAATGTCATCTTACCCACTGTGGGACACTTCCCTTTTATCAATTGTTTATACATTTGATTTTGAATGAGTATTTTAATTTATCTAAATTATCTTAAGTTTGTCAAAAATTGCACGCAAATAGATTGAGAAATAGCTGTTTTATAATTATTTAATGATTGTGTCAAATTAGCCAGCAAATCATAAAATTGCAATTAAAAATTTTAATACTGAACCAATTTAAATATAATTTTTAACAAGAATAATTAGAAAATATGAAATTAAGATGAAATTTGATAAATAAAGATACCTGTTCAAAGGCACTCATAGAAGCAGCTAATAATAGGGAAACACCCCTAGCAGCATACAGTAACATTTCCAGTCATGGAGTCCTATGCAACTCTTAATCCTTATGATGTGTCCTAATTTCCCCCCCCCCCCAGTTAGTCCCATGATTTTAGAATCACCCTGTATTTAATAAAGTTGTGTTACTTACTAGATACACATGTCTAATATTAATTTTAAAGCAAAGTTTTGTTTTTCTAATTATTAAACTATTCTTTTTGTTTCTGGTTATGATTGTAGAGAACCCAAATGACATTTTTAGACACTATGTCACTTCATATGTGTGTCTCTGGATTGACTGGATTACAACGAGCCATGTCATTGGCTTCAAAAAAGAAAAGTTCCGAAAATCAATCTCATGGATTTCTGGATTTATCATTGGTAAAAATTTATTACCTTCAGCAGTATTTTATATATTATTTTTAAAAAAAACATTGCTATATAAGTATTTGCATATAAATTGATGCCAATTTTTTTAAATGTTACTTATTATACTCAATACTATTTCATTATAAAACAAATAACTGTAAGTTAATTTTTAGCATTACACTTTTTTTGTACTAATGTTTGTTAAAAACATTTATCAGCATAATATTGCTAGCATAGTTTGGATGAAAGAAGCCATAAAAAGNCCCCTTCTGCGACAGTGGTTAGTCGATTAGTTTCGGGTTACTTAACACACGCACCCCCACAAAAAATGTAGGGGAGACAGTGGAACGGGTTTTGGAGGTGCACTATATTTCGTCCCTTTTCGAACCTATCCTTACTGAAGGTTAGAATTGAAATGAAAAGGCCTCCTTAGGTATTCTTTGGCCAAGATTAGTAGAAAATATCAGAAAAAATTATGAATAATCATTAAAAAATTATTTATAATTCATGAAAAAAGTTCTTTTGTTAAATACAGTACCTATTTATGGAGTTTGGTCATCTTGTTTTAACGAAATATTTTATGGACTTTCAAATTGAAAAAAAATACTTATAGTTTAATTTTTGAATCAATAGTAGCATTCAATTTTTATAATTTCTTTTAAGAATAATTTTGTGTTTTAATGTTTTCAGTGTTTTTATTGCATGTTAATACAAAGTGTGTTTCTTGTCTTCTTTTTAGGGTTGGTCTTATATTAGCTCTTTAAATAACCTAGCTGATGTTTACAATTTATATTGCGAAGGAAGCCTTAGCAAATCAGAACGAGAAATTTTTATATCTGGGTCTTTAACTGATGTTAGAGAAAACTTTCAGGTTATATTTTCTTTAGTTTTTCCCTCATTTTTTTTCTTTTGTAAAAGCAGCAAAATATAGTTATTTTATTTGTCTTTTTTGTTTTCAAATCATTGAACATCTGTAAGAAAGAAAACCTAAGAAGAGAATTTAAAAATAAATAGGAATTCTGTGTATAATTGTTTATCATTTCTTAAGAGATTGTTCTAAAGAAATTTTTAGGATAGTGCGCAATGTACTTACAACATTTGGCTAATTTTAAAAAATTTATGCTAATTAAATTAAATCTTCTTTCTTAATTAATAGTTTCATTCAAAGACCTAATGTTTTGTTAATAGTATGAATTAATTAAAAGTGTAATTTAACAATTTTATCTGAGTAAAATAAGTTGAAAAATATTTTTTAATAACAATGTGTATTATTTGTTGTATTTTAATATGTAATAATTAAAAATGATAATTTTTAATTATTACATATTAAAAAAATCATATTAAAAAAGTTCTCCCTCATCCCTCAAAATTGCAAACATTATCAGTTTTCTTTAATACAAATTCATGCATTTGCATTTCTTTTTATTAACAAAATTAAAGTTAATGTAACTCAGCTCTAAAATCTTTGCCTTTCGGGTAAAACAGGTATTTTTTTCCATCTTGGCTTCTTTCTAGAAAAAAAGTTCTTAATTTACAAAACTCTTGTCAGCCAGTCTTAACATATGCTTCTGAAGCTTGGGCAATGACCAAACTGGAGGATATTTGTATCACAATATTTGATAGAAAGATTTTGCAGAGTGGAGTATACTTGGTGATGTAAATTAAAGCAATAACTGGAGAAGGAGATTAAAATTTGAACTGTACAAGCCTTTATTTATAAGCAATCTGATATTATTAAATGCATAAAAATAAATAGAATGAATTGAATGGCCTGCATGATTCGAATGAGTGATGACAATACAATGAAAAAGATATTGACCCCTGGAACAAGAGAGCAAAGAAGGCCGCCGTGGTCGACCCAATTTTGGGTTTACGACAACTAATGTTTAACTCAGTAGTCTTGTAACTTTGTACCCTATTCAGAAGACAAGGGAACTCCTAGATCAAGTATTGGGGGAAACTTGCCTTTGTTTACAACTTTTTGATAAACTGACCCGTATTTGTGTCACATGGAGAGGAAAATCATGAAAACCTGCCACTGTTAACCTGATGACAAGGGGATTTTAACCCATGATACCACTTAAGATATAACTTACTTCAGCACTGTGGTGGGTGGGGAGTTCGTGGCTCAAAAAAATTTAATTTTTATTTTCAGTGATAAAATGCTTTATTTATTTTATTTTATTTTTTAAATCTATTTTATTGTTTTTAGGAGTTGGCAACTTACTGTGCTCATGATTCTCTTGCCACATTCCAGATTTTAAAAAAACTATACCCTTTATTTCAAGAACGGTGAGTTCATACAATACTCTTATTATTTTGTAATTTTTAAAAATTTTGTATTTGCAATTATTGTATTAAAATTTTGTATTCTCACATTCTATTTTCGAAAATACTAATTTTTCTGAAACACTTAAAAAATTTTACCAAGTTGTATAATGCTAATATTTTTTCAGCTGTGTTGTTTATAAAAAGTACCAGACTTATGAATTTTAAATTTTTTTTTATGAGGATAGATTTGTTATTAAAAAAAACTGGTAAGCTCATCATTATTTTTAAATTAGCTAACAAATTCAGATCACTGAGCCGTTTTAGTAATATTTTATTATGATTGGCCTACTTTTAATATTGTCTTTTTATCCTTCATTCAATCATTAACTTTGTTAAAGTTAAAAGTCGCTCTTACAATGAATTCATTTATCAAGCAAATTATTGGTGCTGTAGTCATTATTGTTTGAAACCATATGAGACAAAATTTAACTGTTCCACTAATATAAAAATATAATGTATTAGAATTATAATTTAAAACCTTACCACATTCAGAAATCATTACTGACCTATTTAAAAAAAAAACCACACTAAAACCAATAGATCCCTTTTACAAAATATCAGATCTTTGCATCTTGTTGAAATAAGTGATATACTTACATTTTGGACGATTAAATACCCATTTGAACTAGTTACTTAGCTGCTTTATTTGGCTCAGTAAATAATTTTTAATGTATTTGAATTTGTTAATTTCCTATCTTTTATAATAGTCGTATTTCTTAACATATTAAAAAAAAATTTGCCTGAAACTAGCTTGTCTGTTACGCTTTATTGTTTAGTGTTATGTTTTACTTGTACCTTATTAAAATATCATTAAGACAGAGATAATAGAAAAAAAATTTAAATCGTATTAGATTGTGTTATTAAATTTATTCATGTATTAAATTAAATTTATCCATGTATTAAAAAGGAGCCTTTATATGGATTTCCTGGGGTTACAAAATATCTAAGACTTGAAATTGTATACACAGATATTAAATTTTTGTCTGAATTTGTATATATTATCACAGTGTTTTCATCATAGAAAAAAAATGGGTGAGAATTTCTCACCCTTTCTCAAAAACAGGGTGAGATTTCTAAAAACTGAAAAAATACAAATAGACTTGAAAAAAAAATTTCTTTCATTATAATACATTTTTAACGCCTTCTATTTTTTAAAGCATTGAATATTCTTGCTGCATCATCATAGAAGATTTTGCCTTTACTAGGTATTTGTCCATCTTACATTAGTGCATAAAAAANAATTTGTGTTCTCACATTATATTGCTATTTTAAAAGAGACTAGTTTTTCTGAAACACTTAAACAATTTACCAAGTTGTATAATGCTGATATTTTTTTCAGCTGTTTTGTTTCCAAAAAGTACCAGACTTATGATTTTTCAATGATTTTTTATGAGGAAAAATTTATTATTTAAAAAATTTATTATTAAAAATTTACTATTTTATTATTTAAAATTTATAAGTTAAAAAATTTATTATTAAAAATATTTTATTTTACTGCTAAGCTCATTATTATTTTAAAAGAAGCTAACAATTTCAGATCACATCGCCGTTTCAGTAATTTTCAGTAATTGAGCTACTTGTCATATTTTCTTCTTATATTTCATTCAATCATTAACTTTGTTAAAATTAAAAGTCGTCCTTTAAATGAATTCATTTATTAAGTTAAGCAAACTATTGTATTAGTACTGTAGTCATTCTTGTTTGAAACCATATGTAGCAAATTTTAACAGCTTCACTAATTTAAAAATATAATATATTAGAAATAGAATTTAAAACTTTACCACTTCAGAAATCATTGCTGACCTATTTAAAAACCCACTGTAAAACCAATAGATACCTTTTACAAAATATCAGGTTTTTGCATCTTGTTGAAAATAACAACTGATATACTAACATTTTAGAAGATTAAATATCCATTTGAACTAGTTACTTGTGCACCTTTATTTGGCTCAGTAAATAATTTTTAAAGTATTTGAATTTGTTAATTTTCTAATTATGAAAACAGATGATTATGAATGTTAAGATATACATATTTAAACAAAAAAAATATATGCATAGTTATTTGCATAAATTAACTAACATAATAAAGAAAAATTTGCTTGAAACTAGCTTGTTTGTTATGATTTATTGTTTAGGGTTATGTTTTACTTGTACCATATTAATATATCATTAAGACAGTAATTTAATCATATTAGATTGTGTTATTAAATTAAATCATAATTAACAACAATTTAAATCATATTAGATTGTGTTATTAAATTTACCCATGTATTAAAAAGGAGCCTCTATATAGATTGCCTAGGGTTGCAAAATATCTAAGTCTTGAAATTATACACAGATATTAAATTTTTGTCTTAATTTGTATATATTATCAATTTATGTATTTTGAAAGTTGTAACTTTAAAAAAAATTAGGTTTCCTCATCCTGTAACATTATGTGGCCTCCTAGAAATGGCATCTGCTTATTTACCTGTCAATCATAACTGGGACCGATACCTGAATGAAACACAGTCTACTTATGAAGACATGCAAAAAGAACTTAAACTTTCTCTTGTTCATTTAGCCAATGATGCTTGCTCTCTTCTTCATGACAATTTGTATGTATAACAGTTCTTTTGTTTTTGTTTATATTAGTTATTCAATATCATTGTCTGTTTATTTATCTATTTAGTAAATGTAGACATTCAACAAGAATAAATCTAAAAGGGGATATGCCACTCCAGGCTTAGGATTTCTTTTTCTGCTTAAATGGGGGCTCTTTAATGCCCTAAAGCAGGGTTTCTTAACCTGTAGTTCATGGACCCCTTACGGGTCCATGGGTCATAATTTAGGGGTCCGCTAACTTCTCCTAATTTTTAAAACGTTTGGATCAATAATATTTAAATAACGATTTTTTTTCTAAACGGTGAAAATACTTATTTGAAACTAGGTGATCGAGATACCCCAAATTCAGTGCGGATTGCACACAGCCCTCTAATATCCCTGTCATATTTTTAATAACCTCCACTAACCGGCATTCAGTTTGCACCATCAGGGACAACCCCCTGATGACGTCCGCTGTGTTAGTTTTATCAACACCTATCAAGCTACATGCATTTGACACCTTGTCCAGGTTACTAGATCTAGAATTTTTTACTAAGAAGAAAGCCCAGTTTTTGAAATCTGGAACATTAGACAAACTTGGATTTGGTATTCCACAAAAACCTCTGGTTGAGGCATCTCTCAAAGCTGCATATCNAAAATACATAATATAAAAAAAGAAAAATATAAAATATTAAAATATAAAAATCCCATAATTCTCTATCGAACCAATATTTTACCAGATAAAGCTCTAGAGCAGGGTTTCTTAACCTGTGGTTCATGGACCCCTTAGGGGTCCATGGGTCATAATTTAGGGGTCCGTTAACTTCTCCTAATTTTTAAAACGTTTGGATCAATAATATTTAAATAACGTTGACTTTTTTTCTAAACGGTGAAAATACATATTTGAAACTAGGTGATCGAGATACCCCAAATTCAGTGCGGACTGCACACAGCCCTCTAATATCCCTGTCATATTTTTAATAACCTCTACTAACCGGCATTCAGTTTGCACCATCAGGGGCAACCCCCTGATGACGTCCGCTGTGCTAGTTTTATCAACCCCTTTCAAGCTATGTGCATTTGACACCTTGTCCAGGTTACTAGATCTAGAATTTTTTACTAAGAAGAAAGCCCAGTTTTTGAAATCTGGAACATTAACCAAACTTGCATTTGGTATTTCGTGAAAACCTCTAGTTGAGGCATCACTCAAAGTTGCATATCGTATTGTCAAAAGAAAGAAACCGCTTAGTATTGGAGAGACGTTAATTAAGCTATGTGCGCTGGATATGGGTAAATTAGTTTGTGTGCCGGGACAAAGAAAAAAACTTGAGGATATTCCATTGTCAAATGATGTGATACATTCAAGAATAGTTGAAATTTCTTGCAATATCTTGAAACAGTATCAATATCTTGCAATATCTATCTTATTGATCTTAGAACAAAGTCCTTGCTAAAAATGGATTTCGATTCAAAAACACTCGGAGAGTTCTGGTCTTCTGAGAGAGAAGCCTACTAATTGCTTGTAAAGCGAGCTATGGCAACTATAATTCTGTTAGCTACAGTGTATCTTAACGAAACCGGATTTTCCACACTTGTGACAATAAAAACTTGTGATGGAATGTTGAACATGATATGCTCGTTGCTTTGTTGAAAACTATCCCTCAGTTCAATTTATTAATTAAGAAACAGTAGCAACAACCTTCACATTAAAAATTTTAATTTTAAAAATTTTGTGCTCTTAAAATAATAAAATGAAATGTTTTCTAATAATTGATGCTGTTTTCAAATTATTTTTTTCCCAGGGAGGGGGAGGAGGTCCGTGACTCCTTAAAAAATTTTAAAAAGGGTCCATTGTGGAAAAAGGTTAAGCAACACTGCCCTAAAGTGATGTATCAAAAAATTTTAAATCAAGAAAAATGGTTTAACCATTTAAAAAGTATTTATTGTCTATTATGTTACCCATAAATATAAACATTTAAAATTAAAGTAAATTTATAAAATACATTTCTTTACCTTAGAGTATAATATGAAGTTAAATTTCATTCATTAACAATGTAATCTTTGTAGAATTTTCAGAAATAAATCTAGTTATTCAATGACTGAAACTGCAGCTTCATATTGATAAATAAATAAATAAAATAAAAAGTATTCTGTGCTCCCCAAATAGATTATATTTACACCTATTAAAACTTTAAAAGAAAAAATATCCTGTTTCTTTTTTAATCTAGAGAGAGTGTTAAAATGCTTTCTGAATTTTTTTTTCACAGTTAAAAAAAACTTTTAATGTTAATTCATTATTGTTAATAACTTTTGATCCTTAAAAAATTAGTATTGTTTTATTTATTTATTTTTAACACACTGTGTTTTTTTCTAGGTATAAAGAAGACCCATGGCTTTGGGATTTAAATTGGAGTGTTCAAAGTATTAAGTTTAAAAAAGAAACTAAAAAGTCCACAAAAAAGCCAAAAAAGAAAAAACAAAAGGAAACAGCTGTTCTTGAAACACCAGTTGAAATGGATACTGTTATTATTGAATCTGTTGAAGAAGAAGTAACTATCAATTTTTAAATCTCCAAGCATTGAACTCTTGGGCAAATTTGGCAAAATTCCTTCTATAAACTATTTTACCATTCAATAGCATTGAAAAACTGGCTTTTTGATTCAGGAAAGCCTGGATCTGAAAGTTTGGAAAAAGCTGGAACTGAAGCTCAGAGGGTTAATTTTATTTTAAATAAGTCTGTGTTAGTTGCTGCTGTTTAATCTATAACTTTGAGATTGAAATCTAATGTTAAAATGTTTTATTAATTTTCTTAAAATTTAATGCATTGTATTTTCTTTCTTTTTTTCTAACTCCAATTAATTTACTTCTTTTTAAAAATTCAAAATTATTATAAGTATTCAAAAAAGGAAGGGTTAACTTTGTGTTGAGAACAATGGATTAGAAAACAATATGCAGAACACAAATAAAATGGTTAAAAAAATGAAAAAAAGCAGAAAAATTTTTTGATGTAACAATTACCATCAGGAGTGTTGAAACAAACAATGAGGAGAAATCTGAAGCATAACGGAATTCAGTTTTATTTCTCTTTATTCTGTTCATGGTCTCTGATATTGGTACTTGTTATTGTTCTGAATCTTTTGTCTGCTTTAACTATTTGATTTGTGTTTTTATGTGCTGTTTCCTATTTATTTTATTCTAAATATTGTTTCATAAAAATATATTTTAATTTTCTTATTTCTTTTCCTACACTTAAACTACCTATATGTTATAAATGTTGTTAAAAATACTGTTCAGGCTTAGAGTTTTTAATATTTTCCATATTAAATATTTTATTCATTTGCTTATTATAGAAACCATTTTTTTAATTGACTTAAATGCTTCAAAACTGTAAATGTGTACAAAAATCTTAAATATTTTAATTCTTAAGTTCACTATACATCTATTTAAAAAGGCAATTCAAATAAGAGTTAATTTTTTCAAATTAATAATTTTCTTGAACTTCTGCATTTGTTGGTTTGCAGATATTTTTATGACATCAAAACTTTACCTGGTATACAAGTGAACCCCTGAAATCATGCTTGTTTTGTTATGAAACGTTTTGTAAATTTGCCAAGAATTCATTTTTAAAAAAATTTCAGCGAGTTACTCAAAAAAAATTTATTAAATTATATATTATAAAATATAATTTATAATTAAAATGAAATGAATTGTTCAGAACAAGATTGATTTTTGCTCTTTTACTTTCAAATAAAGATGTTCAGTCTTCTGATGAGGGATTGATTTTGAGGAATCAATATTGTTGTATAAAACTAAATTTAGTCTATAAAACTGGAAACATTTTACACTATGAAGTGTAATGTAATGATTTTGAGTGTTTGGAATATAATCCTTACAAAGATACTGCAAATTAATGGTCTGAAACTGATGCAGATGAGAAAATATTTTAGATTTCTCAAATCAAAGAGATGTATAATATGCTACAAAAAAAACTTAATGTTGCATAACTTGTGTGTGTCTGTTTGTATTTATCATTTTGATTGTGATATTCTTTTTTGTGTTTGCATTTATCTTTTAGTTATTGTTACTTTTTTATGCATCCAAATTTGGAATAAAATTCTTTTTGTTACTCAATAACTTTCATTATGATACATGAAGTTAACTTATTCACCGTAAAATACAAAAATTCTTTTATAACTAATTTTTTATATCTCTTCTACAACAACTAGTTAAAATCTAAATTCTAATTAAAATCTGCATTTCTTTTTTTTCTAATATTTAAAAAATTTTATTTATAGCTACTGAATTGGGATGTTCTTTTAACTGACATTGATTTATTAAAATTCTTGAAAAATTTCAACTTAACTGTTTAATTTCTATTAAGTATTTATTTGCTTAGTTTCTGTCTAATAATTTTATCACTAAATTGTATTTATAATTATAGCAGATTTATTATTTTTTTATGCATCCGAATTTCGAATAAAATTACTCAATAACTTTCATTATGATACATGAAGTTAACTTATTCACCGTAAAATACAAAAATTTGTTTATAACTAATGTTTTATATGTCTTCTACAACAACTAGTTTAAATCTAAATTCTAATTAAAATCTGCATTTCTTTTTTTTTCCTAATATTTAAAAAATTTTATTTATAGCTAATTAATTGGAATGTTCTTTTAACTGACATTAATTTATTAAAATTCGTGAAAAATTTCAACTTAACTGTTTAATTTCTATTAAGTATTTATTTGTCTCGTTTCTCTGTCTAATAATTTTATCACTAAATTGTATTTATAATTTTTTGATTAAATTAGGTTGAATCTATCAAATTGTCATTTTTTATTTCATGGAAAAAAGTATTCCAGTTGTCTGCACCTAACTTTTCAATATTTATTTTTTAACTATCTATCTTTCAACTTTTTTAAAGTTTGTATTTTTATTTTATGCCTTAATTTTAAGTTTTCTTTCATGTAAAGTTTTCTCATTTAATTTAGGAGAAAGAAATTGAAAGTGTAAAAAAAGCTTCATTGACTGACAGTCTTGATGACTCACTGAAGCATATTTATGAAACTGCATCTTCTTTAAGAAAAGTACGTCCATTCATGCCTGGTTATCCAGCGTAAGTGCATCGTCCAGTAGTTAATGTTTTTTATTTAATCCTCTTGTATTTGACAAATGGTCTAATTTCTAATATCATTTTGACTTACATATCTATATATATATTTCTCTTACACGGCACCAAAAAAAAGCCTCATTACAACTTCCCGAATGGCAACGTTAGAAAATTGACCAATGATTGCTGCTAAAAATGTCACATGGCAAATGTCACATGAGATGGCTCAACATATAGTGCTTTTAAAAACGGAAAAAATAACCAGAGTGAGCATTATCAGGTTGTTCAATTCAGATTCATGCCCTAAAAACATGATAATATTTAATTTGAACTCAATTAGGAATTAATTAATTAATTGAAGTGAGAATGCTTTAAAAGGCCGCTGTTGAATTGATATTTTTCTACTGGGAGTTACTTAAACGTCTAAAAAACGTCTAAGTGTTTGTATTGAATTTTTTTATATTTCGCGTTTATTTATGCATTGAATTTTCACGCTTTAAAATGCAGAATATTAGTGAAGCTGCTAGGGCCTTAAAACGTAATGAAAGAAAACGTGTTCGAAGAGCCCAAGAAAGTGTTGAGGAATGTTATGGAAGACATAGATTGCTGAGATCAAGTGCAATATTAAGTATTGGCAGTAGTGAAGGAGAAGTGCCAAAATCAAAACTCCCCGATTAGAAATGCAGCATGGCGACCTCCACATGGTATTTCTCGGGTAATGCTAACAGCCATGCATTTTAATTTATTGTATGTAAGACATCCTTATTTTGTTCTAAAATGTTAAGTACGTTATCACAAAAGTTAATTAATATAGAAATTGATTTCAATAATGCTGATCACCAAAAAATATTTCATTTGGCGATAAAACAAATTTTTGTGTTCTTGAAAATGAAAGACTTTTTGAGGGTTATTATCTCACAAGGAAAAGTTAGGGTTTAAAGTTTATATTTTTAAATAATAAATTTTTTTTTCTAAAACTTGCAGAATTTCTAGCATTAACTAATTTTTATACACATTTAGTTGAATTTAGGTGAGTAACTGCAATATTTGATAATTTATTTCGCTAATATGTTTCTCATTTTGCTAACGTTTTGATTTTTTCACCATGTACAATCTAAATAGCTAATCTACTTTTTTAAAAGCCAATAAGAACATTGATAGAATTTTTCTACATAAGTACAATGCTAGGTTTGATGATAAAATACTATGTCTTTGATGATAATATACTATGTCTTTGTGCTAGAACATTGTGTTCATTGGCGAGCGAGCGCAGCGAGCCATGGTTCACGGCGTGAACCGTATAGGATTGCGTAACAATTCTCGGGGGTTGGCGAGCGTTAGCGAGCAGTGGGCGGAGCCTCCTAGTAAATATATAATGTCCTTAACTGGACTGGTTTAATACACAGTTAAACATGCTGATCAAAGGAAGAATACTTTACTTAAAGAAGAAGAAACTTTAGAGAATTGAAACAAGATGTTAGTTTCTGGTACAACCAGTGTTTCACACACACACACACATATAAGCAAATAAAATGCAATCAAAAATTTCAGAAGATTATTACACTTTTTGCATCATCTAGTTTTTACCATAATCAAATGAAGAATTGTTGCTTTAAATAAATATTTGTAAAGAAAACAATTTATTCAATTTGTTGGAATCTTAGTGGATAGGGACTCTTAATAACACTCTTTGAGTGCTTTTTTGAAGGTCATAAAGATTTCAATTGCATTTTGCTATAATATGACACAAAGTAACCTTAAAAAACCTGTCTTTTGTTAACAAATTGAAGTATTAAAAAAGTGCAAAAGACCCTAACTTGTCCTGTATAAATGGGTGTATAGTATGAAACTTATAAATTTTGCTTATTAGAAAAATGTAAGCAAATAAGTGTAAGCATTATCATTATATCCTAATTTTAGTGTATAGTCAATTATTTAAAGTAATACAAAATTTTACATTATGAAATTTATGCATAATAACAACGTATAACTTTAAAACTTGTTTTCTAAAATTCAAAAATCTACTCTGATTCAGGTCTTCAATTATTTTACTTTCAAGTAATATCTTGATTCATTTGAATTCCTTACTTTATTAGAATTCCATTTTATTTATTTAAAAAAATTAGGTGGTATCGAGAACTCTGTGATAAAAATGGCGATAACAATCCTGATTGGGAACCTGGCCCGTACCAAATTAGCACTCAGGTATTGTTTTATTTTCTTGCTTCAATAGAGTAATATGTTATCAGGCATCATATTTCTGCAATTTATCATTCTGCCTATTTTAAGTAAAATGAGTCATAATCTGGCTACATATTTACTTTGTTTAACTGCAAAGTGATAATTTGTTTCTAAAGTTGTTTTTGTACAATGATGTATAATTTGCAGTTTATTTAGTTCAAAATTAATATGAGTATCAGTTGTATTGTATACTCAAACTTTGTTTAATGTTACTACAGAGTAGGCCATCTAGCAGTTTCTTTTTAAAAATGAAAGATAAATAAATGCAATTTAGTATTTTCCCAAATTATATTGCTTTAATGGGAAATGGAAATCTTCCAATCATTGATATAATACAACTTCATTTAAGTTGCTGTACTGGATAACTTCATAGTAGCTCATTTTTATGTATTAAATTGAAGATGAATGCACTGAAAGCAAAGTATGTTTAACAAACAATTACAATAATTTTATTCATATAGGTCTTCTTTTGGTGATCTATATTGAACTAACAGTTACATTGTTGAATTTACTTTTTAAGGAAAGTGCCATCTAGCGCTATAAAATATCATTACAAAACACTTGGAAAGTTACTACACCCATCTTGTGAACCAATTTCTCTACTCATTTTTAATAGTTTCTAGCTCTATTTCATAAAAACATCCGAAATCATTGTTCTTAATGGTGAGAATTGTTAGTGTGTTCCATATACAATATCAATGCTTCATAACACTCCACAAGAAAGAAAGAAAATTGCAGCTGCATATATTCTTATTGACATCACCCAGTGGCCAATCATGCAAATACTTGATATATTTCACAAAAGGTTGGTATGATGTCCTGATAAAACCTATGATTGATTTCCGGCCACAAAAAGTGGTTCACTTTAGAAATAATAATTAACAGTGTAGCGCTCTTTGTTGACTAAAGTGGCATTACAGCAACATTTATACACACTGTACGAACACTAAAATCACTTCTTCACTGTCATGTCCATCTTACAAATTTGCGTACAGCTGGAACGTGATGACAATTTTTTCTTTACTAAAGTTTCTTTTCTAAAATTGCTCTATTTTAGCAACACAGAACTTATTTCAAAAATAAATTTTTAATATTTCATAATGTTGATCAAGCTTAAATGTATTTTTTCCCATTTTCTTGTCACCAATTTAATATGTTCTTGTCACCAATTTAAGTGCCAAACAGTGTCCAAATAATTTATGATGTAAAACAAAAAGGATGGAATGCCCACATGTTTGCCTGTATTTATCAGTAACCTGTATTAACTTTTGAACAAAATGGCAGCCATATATTTATCAATAATAAAGTGTGGTTTACATTGAAGAATGTCAGGTTTTAAGAGTTGTTTTTGATGGACAAATTGCATTTCTTACACCATACTGCTTTGCATAACCACTTGGATTATAAATGTTAATCATGTAGAATGAAATAAAAAAAATTCGTAAGTCATTTTTGTTTTGCCAAATTTTTAAAAACTTTTGACTTTCTTATTCTAAAATGTACACAAATTATCTCCTCAGATTCAGAGGAACTTGGATAATTGGGTTTATATTGTAATTCATTGAAAAAAATCAATACATTTTACAAAAATATGAGTTTACTGAGGAAATGTAATTAAGATTTTAATTTTTTTTCCTTTATTTTAAAAAAAAAGCATAACTGACAATAATATAACTCATCCAAACTTAATGTTTGTTTTCAGATGAGATGTGTGCCAAAACTTATGCGGATGACTTGGGATGGTTTTCCATTACATTATAATGAAAAACATGGCTGGGGTTATTTAGTTCCAAATGTAAATGAAACGAGTTTATCAGAGAATCAAGCATTCCCTTTGATGTAAGTTTTTATTTGTTTGCTATCAAGGTATTATTTATTTGCCTTAATCATGGCTATTATTGCAAAGCTGCGCTAATTATTTTTTAAATAATGAAATATTAAATTTATAGTATTTTTTGATTCATTGTGATCAAAGTAATCTATTTTGTATTTTATCTGTATTAAAGGTTTGCATGCCTTCATAATTTTTTAAAATCGCTTTTATTTCAATTCATTATTTTTTTTATTCTCTTCAGATTTTATAATTTTAAAATCTGGTTGAAAATTCGTTTAGCTTTTTGAAACATCGGTGCTTGTTTTTATATAGTATTAATCATTAGAAATGTATAACTAAATTTGTCACAAGATATCTGCTTTCTAAAATTCCTATTACTTGCTTAACATTTAATATTTATTTTTACAAAAATGCATACTAGCAAGATCTGATACGTGTCTAGGTCTAAAACACATATGCTTTTTAAAAAAATTTCCAGTTGTTTATAAAAAGATGTGGTATTTTGAATTTTCCCAGAATTCTTTTTAAAAAAATCTTTTAAACCTTATCCAATTCCAAAACAAATTTTGTCTTATTTTATTATGCAAAAATATAATGCATTTATTGTATGTTCAAAATACGAGTGTGGCTCTGAATATGTATGAAATATTCCTTGAATGAAATATCTTCAATATTTTTTTATTATCTCTACTGTTGCTTAATACAATGAATATTTCAATTCCATTTTAAAATAAATATAATGTTTAAAAAATTTTATTGTTATATCCTTTTTATAGCTATGAGTAATATAGTGAAAACTTGTTAACTCTTTTTTAAATCTTATATAAATTTAGCTGTTTTTATTTTCCCTTATAAATTCTTTATCTTAACAATTTTTTTTACAATTATATTTTAGAAACTTTCTTCATCTTCTTGAATCAAGATCTGTTGATTCCAATCCATCTCAAAATTTGGATGCATTTTGGTCAGTAATTCAAGAACCAAAAGAAAGTAAAGAGGAACAGTCAAAAATGTGGAATGCTATTCTACAAAAGCAGGAACATGTAAATATTAACTTATTCATTTGTTGTAAAGAATGAATTTAAATTATTTCTAGTACTTTGTTTCTGAAGTATCTTTGTTAGTATATTCTAATACGTAGTTGCATATATAAACATAAAACCGTATGTATTGTAAAACAAATGCTTAACATGAGTTCTTGTATTCTTATTATTTCAGAAACATTTTAGTGCAGTAATATGTAAATTATAATTATAACATAAGATAAAATAGGCTAATATAATATGATTATATTCAGAAGCAGTTTTAACAAAATTTTTCATTTATAGTGACTGCTAATACTACTACCAAGTATACAAGGTTAAACTAATGTTTTAACCAAGGGTATCATACTAAACTAATTTTAAATTTTAGAGTCTTAACTAATTTTTTTTTTAACTGCTGTTCCTAAGAAGAGTTTGTTTGTTTGTTTGTTTTTTTACTTATTTTTTCTCACTTTTTATAAAAATTGTGTAAAAACCCCTGATTTACAATAATATTAAAATAAAGTCTATAAAAGTTAAAATAATAATGCATTAATGATAGCTCTATACTGTTCAGGATGCAAAATGAACAATGGAACATTATTATTACATTTGATCCAGTGATCCGATTGTCATGTATTAAGAGGTTAAAAGGCAATCTTTATGGCTGAAGGTGTTAATTTAATGTTGTGTTTTTTTAACCTTGTTTAATTTGTACAGATGATATTTTACGTTAGGAAGTATAAGATGTAAAATATGAGTAAATTTGAAAAATAAAATTCTAATAGTTCAGGCTGGAGAGCTCAGACTCAGTAAACTTTGAACTCCTTAATGTCAATGTCAAGTAATTTACCATATCTTTAAAAATATTTTTGGAAATCAGTATATTTTTGTACACAATTATAAAACTTATCTATCAAAATATAATTGTATGTAAAAATAAATTTTTATCTTTCCTTATTGTTGCTTATTATTTTACTAGTAGTTGAAAACCTTATCTTTGATTTAAAATGTTCACAAATTTTTATCTCATTTTACAGTATGTTTTATGTTATAACAAAATTCAAAATTTGAGCAAGATTGGCTTACTAATATTTTAGCAATTTTGGATTTTGTTATTTAAAATAACATGGTTCAAATCGATGTAAAAAATTAATTTTTGCTGTATTTATTAAGTCTGGTTGATATTCGATTAAATGAGTTTTATAATTATATGCCAAAATTTTTTTGATTTTTATTAAATAACTGCAGATATATAGTGAAGAATGCATTTAGTACAGTTTTGAAGAAAGTGATATTTTGATGAAGTATGAAAGTGAACTTAACATTTAGGGGTATTTTACAGATTGGGACTCCTCTTCCGATACTTAGTTGGTCAAATATTTGAATTCTTCAAAAAGAGATGTTTCTCCGGAGAAAATTCATTTTTGTGTTTGAATTCCTAACTTAAAATATAGTCTATGAATTTTCCAGATTGTGACTCCTTCTTCACTATTTAGAGAGTAAACTATACAAATTTGTCGATAAAAAATATGTTTTTTCAATGAAAATAATTTTTTTTTGTATGATTTTGAACTTTAAATATAATCTACACAAATTAACCATATCCATAAAACCACTAAAATTGCATCATAGTAAAGACAATCATATGATTATATCAAAAGTTAGGTGTGTATTCCATTTTTTTTTTTTTTTTTTTTTTTTTTTTTTTTTTTTTTTTTTTTNTTTTTTTATGTACTGAGATTTTTTATTTTATTTATTCTATACTAAATGGTACAGTAAAAGATCTTAGAAATGCAATTTTATAAACCACAATTCTCTGTAAACTACACTAGCTTTGTGGATGTAATGAATGAAATTTGTAGTTTTAGAAATTTCTGTAACTTAACAAGAAATAATAACTTTTTACATTATTTGCTAAGAGGTTTAAAATTCAAAAGCTGCACAAACCAAATTTGATTTTTTTTTACTAATTTTAATGCTACTGAAAATTCTCACTTTTTTTCTGTAAAAAAATAAACTAAAACACTTATTTCCATATTTTGTGTTTCTAAAATTTTGTAGCTAAATATTTTTTTGAAACATTTTAAGATTGATCTGCTCCTGACTAATTTTCGCAAAGTTAGGTAGTAAGCTTAAAGATAAGTAAAATTATCTATATAACAAAAATATTCCATTAAATGCAATAAACACATGTGTGCATATTTTGTGTTTTTAAAAATTTGTAACTAAAAATTTTTTTAAAGCATTTTAAAATAGATCTGCTTCTGACTAATTTTGGCATATTTAGTAAGTTTCAAATAAAGTGAATTGTTGTTGTTAATTTACGTCGCACTAGAGCTGCACAATGGGCTATTGGCGATGGTCTAGGAAACATCCTGGAGGATGATCCGAAGACATGCCATCACAATTTTGATCCTCTGCAGAGGGGATGGCACCCCCGCTTCGGTAGCCCGACGACCTGCGCGTGAAGTCGAGCACTTTACGGTAGCACAGTTTAACAAGGACCAATACCGCGCATCCTCGGTCCCTACGCAGACTGATCCAAGTGGTCACCCACCCACACACTGACCGCAGCCAGTGATGCTTGACTTCGGTGATCTGCTGAGAACCGTGTCTTAACGATCAGTCCACTGCGGGACTCAAATAAAGTGAAATGCTCTCTATAACACAAAATTCCATAAAATGTAAAGCTCCATTTTCAAGGTTTGCTTTATAAAGATCTTCTATTGTATGTAAATATCAATAAGTTGACTCTTAAAACATAATTATTTTTTTTAAAAAAAAAATTTTTTTAATTTGTTCTGATTCCCTAAAATAAACCCATTCTTAATTCCATGTTTAAGAAAATTATTTTCCCTTAATTTTTTATTATGATTTAAGAAGTTTTGATATTTTAAAGAGAGTTATATTCTTGTTTTTAGGAAGCTGTGAACCAAAAAGATGTTCATTATGGCATTGGACCTCATGATATTGGCATCAACGGTTGCATGTTTTATAAACTTCCACACAAGGTTGTTATATATATATATATGTATACTTTTTATGTAAAATTTGTTTTTCCCAATATAGTGCTATAGTGGATAAATCCACCTTTAAATAAATAGGTTGGAAAATTATCTCATGAAAAATAATTTTTATTATGGGAGGTATTGCAACTTGTCTCCTTTGCTCTTAACACATTTTTAAAATGTTTTGTGATAAAAAAAAGGACTTTTTGCACTCAGTTTTTTGCTGTCTTTTTTGTTATATATCCCCTTACTTTGTATATTAATTTTGTGTCACTTTCATTTTAGTTTTGAGATAGTCTTACAAGATATTTGTTAATTTTAATGTTTTTATAAATATGTTAACTCAAGCAAATTATGATAAAACAATCGTTTTTTCTTAGCTTATTCCAAAATATTTTAAGGCACTTTAAATTCTCCCAATTTGTAGAATAGATATTTTTTAAAGAAGGTGGTATGTATCCATTTTTAAAGTTGATTTTGTAATAAATTTAACTCTTTCTAGTCTATCCTTATATAACTTATATCAATATTCAGTGATCACTATGTTATAAAAATTTTTAAAAAAAAAAGAAAGAAAACACAAAAATTGATCTCTATAAGGAACCCTTACGTTTCATACTAATCAACATGTTCTATTAATACCTGCCATATGAAGTTTAACTTAAAAGTCAATAATATCTCATAAATTGGCTATTAATTTATAACAATTAATTTTATTCATAATTGGAGTGATTTGAAAATATTGCTTTATGAATTGTGAAACTTATCTCTATCTTATGAGATATTCTTGAGTCAGATTCTAGTTTTCCCATCTTTTATTAAAAAAAAATTTGGAGAATTATCTGGATACAAGAAAGTATTATATGAATACCAACTAATTAATATTTTTGACATTTTCTGTTTGTTTTTTTTTATTCATTAAAATGTATTTTATGAAATATAATTGCCAATTTAATTTTGAATGTTTTAGGTATATATATCGATAGATATAGATATACATGCAATATTGATTTCACAATGTTTTTCATAAATAAATGATTCTTAGGTTAAGAAATTATTGAGTTAATTATGAAAAGATTTTGCCCTGGCAAGTGATGCAAATGAGTTTTAACTTCAACAAAAAACGTTTTTATTGCTTTTAAAATAAATATTTATGACACAAGGTTAAGTAAGAATAAGACTTCTGTTCTATAAATTGAATACGTAGCTCTATTTTATTTCATGAAGAAAGCTACTTAGGATAATTCAATGCAATGCTAGGATCATAACTGTGTTTGTGTGCGAAATGTATGTAATGCTGTTTAGACAGAACAAGAGTAGGATAACTAAGATTTTCCTTCAAAAACTGAAATATTTGACAAAAAATTAAATCGAAATAAACTCATTTATCAAACTGATACTAAGGAAAATTATATTGCATAAAAAATATTACATTTCCTTTGATGATATATTTAATAATCTTTCAAAAAATACAATAAGTCAATTTTGTAGCTTAATTGCTTTAAGGTTACACTAAGTGTAGTGAAAATTTTCTTGTGTAACAAATACTTTGTCTTTAATTTATATTATATTCTTTTAATATATTTGTTTTGTACTCTAAAAGAATTAAATATTAAAATCATTTAAGTTTTGTTTTAATAAAATAGGATGGTCCCCAGAAAAGAGTTGGCAATCCCTTGTCCAAGGATTTTCTTACTAAAGTTGAAGACCTTACTCTGAAAACATGGGGTAAAGGGCAAGCTAACAGAGCTCTTTTATTGAGCAAAATGTTGTCTTACTGGAAAAATGCTCATGCTCGAATTATGTAAGAACTATTGCTAATAATTAAAATCATTCTAAGTTCTGTGATTATTTTTTTAATGTAATGGTAACAAATACAGTGTAACCTAAAAACAATGGTCCTTTGTGGGGCTGCTTTCTGTGACCAGTGTTGCTAGATTATCACTATTTAGAGTTATCAACTAGTTTTTTTTTTATTATTTTAGATTATTTTTATCATCCTTTTAGCTTTTCTTGTAAATTGATCAAAATAACTTTCATCAGTTGTAGAGATTTAAAATAGTAGCATTAGATGCATTGAGTCCTTTTGCTAAAAAGCTACTAGGTTCAATTGTTTCAATTATCGAGAAATAAGTATTTTGATTGTTATCTAATGCATTTAAGAGTTAATTATTTCATAAAATCTTTTTTCATTTTTTAAAAACTTTATGCATTTCTTATGTTGTCTCTTTTATCAAATTTTTGAAAAAAGCAAAATATGGTTTAAATTTATATAGAATTACCTAGCTATTGAATATTGTATTTGTGCTATTGATCTAAGTCTATCTAATTTGAACCTGGTAATCAACTACAAGAAGTGCTGAAAATTATTTTGAACTCAACATAATCTTTAGAATAAAGTAATTTTTGTAAATATGAAAACATCTTTGACTACCTACAACTTTACAAGTTTAAGAAACACTTCAACTTCCAAGCCATTATAATTCATTCTGGATTGTCTCTGTAACAAAAGTTTTATTTTTAAAGAAATAATTGTTACCAAAGTGAATTAGTTTCATATTAAAAGTGTTTTTCTTCAGATATTTTATACCATGAATAAATTACTGTTATTCTAGTATTTTGAATCATTTAAAAAAAAATCCTAATTTTTATTCAATAATTATTTTTATCTTTGGGAAATTTAAAAGTTTAAAGTATCCATTAAATTTTATTTATAGTAACATGTACCATTTGATTGGATTTCTCATTGGGAATATTCTTTCTAATATTAAAAATATCAGCAGTGGCTTTGGTCACACATTAAAAAAAGTTTAAATTCAGTGCTTTTTTTTAGTACAATCTGTATTTCAAAGTAATAAGTTATTATACTTAAGTGTGATTGAAGTGTGGATGTATTCATGATTCTATAGAGCAGGGATGGCGAACCAGTGGCATGTGTGCCACTTACGGCACGCGATACAATATTTTGGGCACGCCACTGATCACAAAGTTTACTATGAAGCATATTAACAATTCAATTAAAATTCACAAAAAAAGAACAATTAATGCCAAGAAAGCAATTAATAACCACAAAAAAACAAGCGAACAATAAATAACTAGCAAAAAAAAATTAACTAACATCTTATAACCCTAATATAAGTTATTTGTCATCTAATCTGCAACAACAGAAGTCACACTGATGTTACTTTAAGTTGAGTTACGCGTATAACTGAAACATTGCAAAAGTTGAGAATTGCATTTTTTCGTAGTAAATAAAAAGTTTTGAATTGATAAAATTTAGTATTATTATTTACCCAATAATCACGAAGTCAAAACTATTTGTCGGCACGTCTATGACTTCATTGCAATATATTTTAGAAAAAATGGCACGTTGGTGCATGAAGGTTCGCCACCCCTGCTATAGAGGTTCTGTTTCTTAAAATAAATATGGGATTTTTTCCTTTTGTAGGTCTCAAATGGTAGTATGGCTGAATATGGATGAACTGCCAGAAAATGTCAAAAAGTACTCAGAAAATATGTCTCGATTGTTAAATTAGTTCTTCTAGCTTTGACGATTTATTTAATTTCTTATTTATTTCTAGTGCAAAAGCATTTGATGAAGCAGATAGTTATGGTGCTATTTTGCCTCGACTCATACCTGCTGGGACTGTTACCAGACGAGCAGTTGAACCAACATGGTTAACTGCTAGTAATGCATATGTATGTTTTTTATTACATATGTTGTATTATTTTTGTTTGAAGGTTACAACATCTCCTTGTTTACATCATATTAACATATGATTTACATCAGTATTGGCCATCCTTCTACTTGTGCCATTTTTCTCACGTACACGCTCAGATGTGCTCACCCTTTTTTTAATAATTTGTTTACAAATATATTTAAGACTATTTGATAATTTAATTATTGTACTTAAAGCACTTTCTATTACAGTTTTATAAGCAGTATTTGCTATTAATGCTACTTTTATGCTTATTTTAATTTTGCCAGTCAACAATGTCATATTTTAAACTTGTTGCTGAATGCATTTATTAGTTTATCTTTCATAATCTTGTTTTCTATTTAGTCAATTTCAGTGATGAAAATGCTGCTTCATAAATGTTTTATACAATCTCATTTCAGGGAAATATTGTTTGAGTAATGAGATATTAGTTAGGTGTGAAAAAACTCCTCATAAAATTTTATTTTTAGTAATTAATTGGTTTTGAAATAAATTAATTCTATTTGTATATTACTTTGCATCTAATAATTGTTTTGTTCACTAAGTAAAAATTTATTTATTAGTGCAAGCACATAGTTTTCTTTTTTTAGACAAAATAATGAAAATGACTTTCAATGGAAATCTAGAATAACTTTTTTATTTTCACTTTTCAAGGTTTAAATGCCGTTAGCTATGCCATATTCAGACTACCTTTTCGAGTGTTGCAATTTACTTTAATCCAGATTTTCTAACTGAGCAATTAGCAGAGTTAATTTCATTTTTTTAAATAAATTGATGCAATTTCTTAAGCTTAGAAATAATTTATTCAATATGCCTTGTAGTTTTAAATTTAGATCATTGAATGACTAACAATAAAAATGCTGAAATCAAACACCTAAATATTATACATTAATGAGAGACTTTCATCAGTTAGCGTATTTTCTTGTTATAAAAATGAACAGCAATTTTCAACTGAGAAAGTTTTTCCACACAATCCCTTTTTGATGCATTATACAGTTACATTTTAATACAGAATGAATTAAAATATTTTTCAGGCAAACATATGGTAATTTTGCTAGCTCTTCATCATTACACGCATAGCAGTATATTCACAGGTGTTGCAATTTCAGATTTTGAAACATAATTTTACTTTTTTTAAATTAGTCATATAGTCATCTGCACTTATTTGCATATTGAATAATCAAGTAACCCATTTGCACATGAAAAATTTAATGAACCAAATTATTTTATTTTAAATTATTCTAACATTTCCTCATTTAAAGAACTATTTATGGTTGCTTAATAACATAAAAAAGGGGGAAATTTTTTTAAAGGAATGTTTCACCAAGTAAAATGAAATTTTCAGTTTGAAGAATATGAGAATATTCTTCATCCGTCACTTCATCCGAAACTTCATACCCATTTCCTGCTCCAAACTGGTGTTTTATGAGTTTAAGAATTAATCAAATCTTGTTAGAAGTAATATAGTAAACAACTGGAGGCTATCTTTCTTTGACACGCTTCACTCGACACAATATTGAAAATGTGGGAAGGTTAGAAGTGGAGAAATGTTTATTCATATATGTATCAAAACAGTCTTCAATTACAGGTTTCTTGGAGAGGAAATAAATATTGCGATTTCATATAAATCTTGTATATTATACTTTCCATTAGCATTCATTTTTATCTAAATTAATATATCATTCATATTTTATGATACTAACAACTCTAATTATAAATGTTTATTTATAATCAAAATTAGCTTTTTTCCAAAATAATATACTATGCTTTACTTACCATTCCTAAGTAAATTTTATTAAAGACATAGGATTTAAGATTGAATAAAGCACTCCTCTTTTTTTCTCCTCTTTTAATAACCTGCTTATTTGAATACAGGCCATTATAGTATGCTTTACTTACCATTCCTAAGTAATTTTTTTTAAAAAACATAGGATTTAAGATTGAATAAATCACTCCCCTTTTAATCGAATAACCTGCTTATTTCAATACAATTCTCTGAAGCCAATGGTATTCCTGAAAGCTTGGCTAACTATGTTTCTTATTTCTGTCTGCAATGAGTCTTGACAGACAAGTTTTCAATAACATTTAAATGTTTATCAAATACCCTTACAAAAATGTTGAGACAAATGTGGTGCATAACTGTGTTGTTGTACTATAAAATAATTCTATGAGTATATCAAAAAGAAATTTGTAAGAGCCAACAATATAGATTAGCTATTCCTACTTTACCTTAGCACATCTAAAATACATGTGTGATTTTTTTTTCATAGTCATAAAGTTTCTTTTAAGCTACAATGAAATTTATACTTTATGCTCAGGAAGACAGAGTTGGCAGTGAACTTAAATCTATGATTCAAGCCCCACCTGGATATCATTTTGTGGGAGCTGATGTTGATTCACAAGAACTATGGCTTGCTGCTATATTTGGTGATTCTCAGTTCATCAAATTGCATGGTTAGTACTTATTTTTTAATAAATCCAGTTTTAATTCTCATGATATTAGTGTGAAAAGTGCTTATTCTCAGTTAAATTATACTTTAAATAAGAAAGTATTTTCTTTTCATGTTAGGATGCACAGCTTTTGGCTGGATGACATTGCAAGGAAAAAAATCAGCTGGTACAGATATGCATAGTAAAACAGCTACATCTGTTGGAATTACAAGGGACCAAGCTAAAGTATTTTCATTTCACTATTCATAAATATGTAAATAAAGTTTTGCAGTCTAAGTAGTTAGATTCTATAGTGATTGGGAAAATAATTTTGTAAGATTTTATATGTGATCAGATATTAAGAAGTTATTAAAAGTTGCATTTTTTTATAGAAATGAAAGATTTTGACATAAACAGTTAGATTCTATAGTGAATGGAATAATAATGTAATAATAATATTATTTGAATTTATATGTAAATAGATATTAAGTTATGTTAAAAGTTTTATTATTTTATATCAGTAAAAACTTTATATATAAGCAGTTAGATTCCATAGGTATTAGGAAAATAATGTCATAATAAGTTTATAAGATTATGTCATTAGATGTTAAATTGCATTCTTTTATAACTGTGAAAGATTTTGATCTAAGCAGTTACATTCTGTAGTGATTGAGAAAACAATGTAATAATAATTTTATAAGATTTTATATGTGTTTAGGTTGCAAGTTGATATTAAAAGTTGCATTCTCTTAATAACTAATAACAATTAAAAGTTTTGGATAGTATACAAAACGGCTTACAGACAAAATGCTTAAAGGTGCTTATTTGTGTCTTTGAAGTGCACTTGAAGGTGTGTTTTTTTTCATTGGGTATTTGTAAAAAGTGCTTAATTTTTTCTTTTCAAAAATTAGGGGGTTTTTTTTCATGTCCATTTTTGTTATTGATTACACAGATGCATGTCTTTTCACAATGTTCTGTTCAACATTTTCACTATTAATTTAACCGCAATCCATTTTGGTTTATCATCATCAGTATGGGATGAAAGCGCCAATAATTTTCCATGTTGAATGAATGATACATGGTTTTAATGACAAGGATTCTTGCACTCACACGTGCAACTCTATTACATTTTGCGAGAAGTTTTCAATTTTAGGCTTCATTTCTCATCCTCTGAAATTGAACTGAAAATCTCTCAAATTTTTGCTTATCTTTGGAACAAACTCAACATTGCCAAATTGTTTCCCTTATAGCAAATGAAATTTTTTTTTTGCTTTCTTTATTTCTTTGGTGGTAAAGCGCCATTATCTTCATCACAGGCAAGCCAGTCATATTCTCACAGTGTTCTATTTATAAATCAGAACTACAGTCCTTGAACTTAACTGAAGGATTTTTCCCGTTAAGCGAGTTTCATAACTGTATTATTGGATGAATTTCTATATCTATAATCATAAAGTTTTGTTAAAATTCAATTTCAACTTATAAGTATGGGTTTGCATATTTATTTACTGAGTTAATATCATAATTTCATATATATACTATTAATTTAATATTGATTTTTGTTTCTGTAGAATTTGTTCTTAAATGACTGGAAATATAAAAAAATTTAATATTCAGCTGGACTGTGTGCAAAGATTAAAAAATTCATCCAAAAAAGGTTACATTTACTATTAAATAGCAAAACTATTAAAAATTCTGCTACCAAGTATAACATATATGTTGACTTGATAAGGAACAATGGTAACAAACTCTATATTAAAAAAAAACACAAGAAGACTAAAATGTCTTTAACAGATTGACACTTTTGCATGCTAGTGTACATATATATATGAAACGCTTTCAACAAAGGGAAGAAAAATATTTAAAGCTTAAGCATATCCTAATTAGGATTTCCTTTTTTTTTTTAAAAGTGCTTACAAATATTTTAAAATACTTAAAAAATTTGGCTATGCACCCTGTTTTTAAAAATGCTTCATTTAAATTTTTTTATTATCTAAATCACACTTTAATAAAAACTGGAAAAATTTAACTCTAAGCCAAATCTTTTGAATATCAAAAATTGAAAAGAAAAAAATCATTAACTTTTATAGTTTCAGCAGATATTTTATCAGTTAATGTATTTTTTGTTTAAAGGAAATTACTCGAAATTTAAAAGCATATATGGTTAGAAACATGTAGGAACTATTTACAAACTTTCAAATTTTATTACTATTCATACAATGGCTGTATTTTTTTTCAAGGTTTAGAATCTTTTAAAACGTAAGGAATCATTTTTACATTCAAACAATAAAAGCTATTATCAAAACTTTATTTCATTAGATATTGAACTATGCTCGCATTTATGGAGCTGGAAAATCTTTTGCCCAACGTCTACTAATGCAGTTCAATCATCGTTTGACTCCTGAAGAAGCAAAGCGAAAAGTTAAGAAAATATATTCTGAAACAAAAGGAACACAAAAGTATTATTTTCCTTAATCCTTTCTAATAGTAATTTTTCAGTTTCAAACGTTTAATAAAGTAAATATTCGTAATATTTTTACAAGATATATTGCTGCACCTGATGAAGTTGAAGAAAATCAATATGTTTTTACACCTGGTTCTCAAAGAAGAATCTGGGTTGGAGGTAGGTAAGTACTCTGGTTGATTCAATATTATCCAGCTATGATTTTTCCTTAATATTCTTTTTCTAAGAGAAACAAATCAATGCTTCTTTATTAAATCCTAATTATTATTTTAGTGAATCTGATATGTTCAACAAATTAGAAGAAATAGCTCTCTCTAAAAAGCCAAAAACTCCAGCATTGGAGTGTAGGATCAGTAGGGCTTTGGAACCAAAAGCTGTGGATAAAAATGTAATAAAAAAAATTTAATTTTGTTTCTTAAAATATTATATTTTATATATATGTAAAATGATGCAGTCGGACCGAGCAGGGAAACAGACACAGGATTTTAATTAAATCAGAGTAAGTTTTATTTGATCATTCTTAGTTGAGTGGGAGCGAAAAAGTGATGTTTACTCCATCAGCAAACAGTCTTTCTGGTAGGGAAAATCTTGCAAAAAATCCTAAAATGTCTCTATTTAGGGAAAAGAGGGAAAACTCAGAAATTACAATTGGTTAATGAACTTGCTCGAGTGATTCCCACGGCTTAAAAGGGAAAAAAGATCTTTATTTAAATGTATGCATACTTTGGCTAAAAATAGATTTAGAAACAGGATGTGGCTTTTAAAAGTGTGAGAAAGTATTTCAAATAGAATAATTAATTAGTAATAAAGTAGGAGTTGTTTTATAGCAAAGAAACTAACATAAAAAGATTAATAAAAGGCTTTTTATGTTACATATATATATATATTTTTTTTTTTTTTCCTTTAACTATTTCAAACCACTTTAACAAAGACCAGATGACTATAAAATAATATAACCCAAAGTAAGTAAAACTAGATAAGTTTAAATTAGATAGCCGTATTAAATATTATATACTTTTACAGCATTGCATTTCTAAATTTTCAAATTCCTGTTACTAATTTTCTAAATTTTAAATGCCTATTCTAATAAGTTAGTTTGTTTTGGAATGTGTAAAATTGAATGTCTTCAATTATGTTAATACCTCTTATCAAGAGGTTAAAAAAACAAATGGCAATAAACATCCACTTAAGCATTATTTTTTAAAGATAATAAAACTAAAAAGATTTAAATTAAGCTAACATAATGCAAAGAGATTATATAAGGAAGTTGCTGTAACAATTATGGATAATTATAGATATAATGAAATCAAATAATTTACAAATATCATACTAAAATGTCTGACATGCATGATTAATGCAATATCACATATATATCAGTGTTGTGCTGATTCTTACATAATTTGCAAAGAATATTAATCAATATAAAATTGTTATATTAAATGTATTGGGGTGTGTATTCAGCATTGCATTTTAATATTTAGAATTTTGAAAGCACTGATATGATTTGCAATTAATAAGACATGTATATATATATCATTACAGTTTATGACTAGTCGTATCAATTGGGTAGTACAGAGTTCTGCAGTGGATTTTTTGCATCTTATGTTAGTTTGTATGAAATGGCTATTCAAGGAATTTGAAATAGAAGGCCGTTACTCCATCTGCATCCATGATGAGGTTAGATACCTGGTGAAAAGTGAAGATAGATATCGAGCAGCTTTAGCTTTACAAATCACTAACTTATTAACAAGATGCTTCTTCACAGCTAAACTGGAAATGAATGATTTACCACAAGTAATTACAGCTTTTAATATAATTTATGTAATATTTTTTTATCAAAGTGACCACACACACTCTCTTTCTGAAAGCAGAGAAAATTTAATTCTGAAGAGATTTGAAACTAATACTTTATATTAGAATATTGGCAGTATAATCAATCATTCTAACGTTTATCCGAACTTGTTTCAGTCTAATTTTAGGCAATGAATCTGTTTCTTATTGCCAATCATATCTCATAAAAAAATTAGCTAATAGTGTTATCATTTATTTACCTTGTCAGTAGTGCTATTTTAATAAATAATTTGTATAGTTTTACTTTCACTTTTTATTTAACTGTTATTTAAATAAAATTTCTTAAAATATTAAAATTATTAATATTTTTGAAAATTTATTTATTCCTTATCCTTTTGTTAAATTAATAATAATTTTTTTAAATAGAATGTTTTGGTTTATTATCATGAAATTTTGGATATGAAAAAATAAACAATTTTAGATCGAACAATAACAATTTTATATTTTTAAATTAATATTTAAAATATACTAATTTAAGTCTTGAAAGTTTTAAAATTCAACTGTTAAAATCTCATATGTATTTTTTTTATTGAGATAGACTTCCATGTTTTAATTTATTATATAACTAAATATTTGTCAAATAAAAATTTGTTATTTTCCATTCATACATATTAAATTGTAAATTGTATTCTTATTTTAGAATTGCTAGAAAATGTTTTCTACTTATGAGTGCCTGAAAAGAACTTTAAACAAAAATTTCTTCTTTGAGTTGAACAATCTATGAAACACTTCTTTTTTTCTTATTCAAATAAATTTTTAATTTCAAAGAAAACAAAACAATATTTTACAACAGAGTGGCACTTGTTTTCTTCAGTAAGCTGATAATTACTCTTACATCATTGTTTTATCATTATTTTCTCTTTTTTCATTATTTAGTGTTTGAAAATATATTAATTAAAAGTTTAAGATTAGTAGCACAATATTGATAATGTTTAAGTAAAGATTACAATAGCCAACTTTAATTAGCTTTCATTCATTTATAATGAAGCTGCCTACTGCAACTTATCTGTTGCTCCTATGATTCAAGTTAATAGGCTTGGGTTATCAGGTATCTTCAGACAAATTTGACATATTATTCACCATTTTGAATTAAGTTCCTTGTCTATTTTAGCATTTAAAGTAATATCTATAGCTTGTGAGAAATATAAAGTTTTTATTTTGTTTGATATTTCCCTAATGCTATTGAGGATATCGAAAACAGAATAATCCTTTTGAAAATTGTTTCTTTACCTTTTACCTATAGAAAGCTACAGAAAATTATCCCTCTGGAAAAATATCACTAGAGGTTAGCATTTGTGTATTTATACCAATATTTGGCCTATTTCTTAAGTATATTTAGTATGCTGATATTAAAATTTAAAATAATTATTAAAATGAAAATTACACTTTTTTCCCAAGATTTAAGTTCTGATCTTTTATAATAGTTAGATAAGTTTTTAGTTTTAAAAAAATTGTGCAAAAATACTACGAGCAAAATGTATTGGTTATGGCCAGGGAATCAGCCATATACTTATCTATTACCGTAAATATTTTTAAAACCTGATTGGTAATCGTTGTTGATCGATAGTGATCAATATTTTTGGAAGAAATTATGCACTTGTATAGAATATTATATGATTGTCATTAAATATAAATATATTAAATTTGTAATTAGCAACTATTGTTAATAATTACATAATTGGTGGTAATTAATTTTTTTTGAAAGAAATTACTTTTTAAAAAAATTAAGCATTTTTTCAAGTTACTAAACTGGAAAAGGAATTTCTTTTTTTTCTTACCTAATACAGACATAAATTTTGCTAGTACTTTATACATTGTACTTACTACTATGCACTGTAAGTTGTAGTTTGCTGTACTGTATATTTATCCTTTTCTTTACAAGGTCTACTGTTTTTTAGTAGTAAAAAATTCAGACTTGTTTAATTAAGATCTTGAAATGTGTATGATTTTTATTTCATTACATTTTTTAATTGCTGAAAATTATCAGTATTATTTATTTTTATTGAAATATATGTCTACATTCTCTACGCCTTAATTTAGTCTCTTTAATCTTTCACTAAACAGTATTCGAATAGAAAAGTTTTATTATTAGCACTTTTTTCTTCCGAATGCTTTTCAAAGAGTTTAAAACTTACATAAATTCCATAGTTTACAACTTCATAACATATTAATACATTTCTCTGGTATTTATAAATTTTATTTATAGTCAGTGGCATTCTTCAGTTCTGTTGATGTTGATACTGTCTTGAGGAAAGAAGTGAACATGGATTCAAAAACTCCTTCTAATCCTCATGGTTTAGAAAAAGGCTATGGGATTCCTCCAGGTATGCTTTCATTTATTTTCATAAGTGGGTGTGGGTGCAAGTTTTACTTAATAAGAAAGGAAATCAAAATTATTAGAAAAGCAATTAAAACTAGACTTCGAAATATGCCATGCAGCAGAAATTCCATAAGAAAATTGAAACCAATAGAAAATATAAAGAAATAAACAATGAAAAATATAAAAATGACAACCGGCGCTAACATCGTCAGGGGGTACCAGCCCTGAAAAAACACAAAATAAAGAAAAGAGCAAGAAATATTTCTTGTTCTTTTTTTTCTTCCTTTTGCACATTAGATTAGGGGGCATTGTCTTTTCGTTAATTTCAGTTTAGTTGAGGTATTTGTAGTACTATGTTGTGTTCTTTGGTTTTGGGATTTATTATTTTAAAGTAAGTTTTTGAACGTTGTTTCCTTTTTTATTAATTGAAATATTATACTTTTGCATTGTGGCTGGGTGGCGCAGTTGGTTTGTTGTCGGCCTTCTGAACCCAAGTCTGCGGGTTTGATCTCCGGCCCAGACACCGGATTTTCGGAATGCAGAAAATCCTCAGCGGCCATGTCGTATGATTATGCGGCATGTAAAAGATCCATGGAGTGCCTCATTGGCTCTTGGCATTTCCGGCAAAATTAAATTCCTAGTGCACTTTAGCATCCAAATAGAGTCTCGGTGCTGCCATCTAGTGTGGCAGAAACTGAACGTCCAAATTAACATGACCAACGGTATCTCACCCATTGTGGTGGTCCTGAAAGAGTGGATACCACCTCTGGAGAACGCACTAGGTCTGCTCATTGGCAAGACCGATTGTGCAGCTCATTGGAAATTTAAAAAAAACTTTTGCATTTGTTTTTGTATTCTTTTTTCTCTCTTTCTTGACTTTTGTCAAGGACTTGACTTTGACTTTGAGATACAGAGAAAGCAACTTAGACATTTGTCATACTCTCTCAATAGAAAAGGTTTTGTGTTTAATGACTTCCGGGGCTGTTACCCCCTAACGACGTCAGCTTCGGTTGCCTTTTTTATATTTTTCGTTGTTTACTTCTTTATATTTTCTACAAGCTTTACTTATTTAGTTTGGTAAATATAAGTTATAATACATTATTTGTATTTCTTTTAAGTGAATAGTTTACTGAAAATAATTTTTTTGTGAATATAAATTTGAGTTAACGCCTTAATATAAATTTTGTATGACGTTAAGGGTAACGTATATTCATTACAAAACAATATGCAAAAATCGTGAGCGATCTTTTGGAGATAAAGTCAGTGATTACTTGATATTCCCCTGTAGATTTAAAAAAGCTAAATTTGTCAGGGTTTTTTTTTCACCTATTCTAAGATGTGGCAAACAATTTTTATTAAAAGGTATGATAAAATATTTAATATCACAACAAAACCTTTTTCACTCTGCTTAAGCACAATTTATAAATAAATAAATTAAAATCAAATTATATTTTTTGTGTCATAATTTTTACTTTTAGCACTTACTTCAGTTACTCTTAACTGCTTCCAGAAACTGTCTTTACCATGACAGCCTTTCAATCCAATTGTGAAAAAACGCAGCCAGCGTCTTCAATGCATTGCCAGATCCCATACACCAAAAGCAACAACTAAAATGACTTACACATTGTGTTGAGAAGTTTTACCTACTCTTCTTTACTTCTTCATTGCTTTCTCTGACCATCACCTTTTTTGGCAAGATGACATCATAGTATGAATTTTTCGGTCTCGGGAACAAGAACTTTTATGAACATGGAATCGACAAGGGGACTAACAAAAGCAGCTTAGAATGAAATAATTGGTGACTAAAAATAAAATAACTGGTATATTGAAAGCTATAAGAGTATCCTACCTCCTAGAATGGAACTTACTAGCATAATGGTGTAACGAAAGATTGAAACAGCTAGCCTTTTTTTTATGTTGAGGAACCGAACACATTTACTATTTTCCTTCAATACAAAGTAGCCTTCATGTGAAAGTTGTCAATGATCAAAGAATTAGTAACGTTGCTCAGGAATGGAGAAGCTGTCAAGTGATTTAAGTTGCACAGAATGCAATCCAGTGACTCGGGTATGCCTTTACTGCGAAGGTTAACAATTCTGAAATTTTCAGAGAAAATCTGCCATTGAGATCAATGGGTATGGGATCACGTGACGCTGATTACTTATCAATAAAAGTACCAAGAATTTTTTCCTCTTTCTTCTTGGCCGACTTGCTTCACCCACCCATTGACTCCCAAGAACAATTTTTCACTCGGGTGTGAATTTGAATTTCCGCTCGGGCTCCGTTTCTTTTTATCATTGCTCTATTTATTTTTTTATTTACTCTATGTTATTGTTCATCTTCGTTTCTTTTCATCATTGCTCTATTTATTTTTTTATTTGCTCTATGTGATTATGGATCTCAATCAGGCCTAAAATTATTCTCGTGTTGTAAATTAGAATTTGTTACACATTTGAAGATAATGTCATAAACATGCCATATTTTAACAAAAAAAATTACAGTTAAAATGAGAACAAAAATACCATTTTCGGAGCAAACTGCTATTGATCTTCTATTTCAGAATATATTTTGTGTTCAATTATTTTCTAATAAATCTATGCTTATTGCATAACTCTTGCACGAAGCCCATGAAAGATTAAATCAGCAGAGATGCTGCACATCATATTAAGTTTACTTTTAAATACAGATAAGAAATCCGAATCAGAAATTGCAGTAATGTACGAACTTAAATTTAAACTCTTACTTACTTACTTATCCTCTACGTGCCTTGGGCACTTAAGGCCTCTAGCATATCCCTCCAACGCCTCCTGTCTTTAGCAATAGATCTTGCTTCCTCCCAGCCAGATATTCTACATTCTTTTAATTCGCCCAAAAACATGCGCTGGATGGTAAGTCTGGGTCTTCCTCTTGTTCTTTTACCATCAGGGGCCCATGTAAGCGCAACAGATGACATTTTTTCTTTGGGCATTCTAAGGATATAAAATTTAAACTCTAAGTGTTATATATTTTGCTTTAGGTGAAGCTTTGGATATATTTGCTGTTCTTCAAAAAACAAATGGAAGCATACTTCCTCCGAAAATAGCATGAGCTAACATCTAGATATCATCATCAATAATGGTCCTGGACAACATCATCAATAACAGCGCTGTTGTCATACTAATTCATTGTATAAATTTCCATATTATGTTTCTAGTGTATTAGTGTTTTCTAGAAATAAAGACTTTTTGTACATATTATTTTTTATTTATTTTGTGCAAAAGATGTACAGAGCTCGAAAATATAAATGAAACCCTCTTAATAACTTTTTATCTAATTATCGGATTTTCATGTACTAATGTTCCATATTAATGGTTCATAGGGGAGTGACCTCAAATGTGCTAATTAGTTAGTGCAGACGATATTTTAAGTTACAAAATCAGACATGATTTTAAATATCTGACTTTTTTGAAGTTCGATTTGCCAGGGACTATTTGAAGCTATATTTATAAAGAAAAGCTATATTTTTTTTTTCAAAGATGTACGTTTTTGTGTTTGATTTCGTAACTTCTGCACTAGCTATATTACGTTTTGGGTCACCCGATCATTTGATCAAAAGTTATTCAGGATGTTTCATTTACTTTTTTGCACTGTGTACTTGATACAGATATCATGAAAAACATTTTTTTATTAAATTAAATGTAGTTTAGATTAATAACAAAGTATTTTATTAAAAAGTATCTCAAATAAGCACAACACAAATCAAAAAATCTTACTTGCAAATTTTAATGGAACTACAAATGGCTGACGGGTTTACCCATATGCTACCAATAAAATCTTATCAATATATCAAAAAAAATAGTAATAAAATTCGATTTTCTGTCATTTTTCCTCTTAAAAACAGTTGATAAATTTTAAAATTAGTGTGATACAAGTGACTAATGTAGGGCAATTATCTTGTCCTATATTGTTCCTTTAGTTTGATTTCATTCAAGTCAAGTTTCACTATTATGCAGTCAATTTGTGATATCTCAAATCTAGTGATTGATCTATCAAAAGTTTGACTTACTCTTAGTTTAAATTTCATATTATTTAAGGATTGATTAATTGCTTACTCATCAACTCCAACAATTGTTTTATAATTAATTTTACCACAAATTGTTATGTCTAAATTAAAAACTATTTCATTAAAATATTTCAAAAAATTTCATTGTTTTGAAACAGATTGTGTTCTTTTAGCTATTTAACTATACAACTTTTTTAAAATTCAATCTCTCAGGAACAATTCGACCGATTCCTTTCAATTATTGTATTTTGCCATAAAAATTACAATGCATCATTTTAAATCAAATTCTCTATAAATGATGTCTACCTTACAATTCAAAATTTTTTCGACTGTTATTTAATAAATAATTAGTAAAAATAATTTTTTGCATAGGATTACCACTGCATAAACAAATTTCATAATTTTAAAAAAAAAAATTCGATTCGTTTAAAAAGTTCTTGGACATACGGAACGAAGATATTTGCAGAAAATAAAACTAATAAGTGGTCCAAACTTTAGACCACTCGCCTGACCAAACTATCGAATTTCTTAGAGAATGCTATCTGATTTCTTTGCTTGAAATATTGTCTGCACATTCAAAGTATGAAATTGATTCAAGCAAATTTTAAGAAAAAAAGTTAAAAATAATAAGTCCAAATGATTGGTATGTCAATTATGGAGCCAAAATGGAATTATTTAAATTCTCTTCACAAATTAATTAGCATATTTGATGTCACCCCTTCACGTTTGAGTCCTAGTACGTGAAAATCCGGTTAAAGATTATCAAAAATCGCTTATTTTTTGCAATCGCTTATTTGTTTCGCTTATTTTTTGCGACTGAACCTGTCTTTAAAAGCAAGATCTCCAAATTCTAGAAAATATTTTTTTAAGTTTTCCATATAATATTAGAACTAAGCAAAATTTTTATTTAAAAAATTTAATATTATACTTCCATTTTTGGAGGAAAAAAAAATTATAGAACAAATTCAAAATATTTCTTACAATTTCAAAATTTGGTACTCGTAAAAAATATTTGTGTCCCAAAAAGAGTTTTTTTTTTCGGAGGGGGAATCTGTGAAATTAATTTTTCTAGTGTCCCTTGTTACGTTTTCTCTCTATTAAACTATAATATGAGATCCCCCGCGGAACCATTAAGCTAGTACATGAAAATCCGATGATTAGATCAAAAGTTATTCATGGTGTTTTTTTTTTTTTTTTTTCTCTTGACCTGGACAAACGATGCGCAAATTAAAAAAATGGAACACCATGAATAACGTTTGGTCTAATGATCGGAGTTTCACATTCTAGGACTTTCTCTTAATGATTCGAGGGCGTGACCTCAAATATGCTAATTAATTAGTGTAGACGATACTTTCTCTGAATAAACATAACGTTCTTTCGACTGACTTCCAGCACTTAGAATAAGAGAGGTTAGCCGCAATCTGGTCCCGATAGTTTCGTCAGGAGAGCCGTCAAAAGTTTAAATCATTAATGTTAATTTTACTTTGTCTAATTTCGCCATGTTTCAAGAAATTTTCTGCAATTATAAAATTCGTTTATCTAAAGATTCCATGCAAAATATAACCTTTAATAATTATTTATTATTATTATTATTTATTTTTTTTTACATTTTATTCAATAATGGTAATAAATAGATTTTGAATTGTGGGGTATAAAAAGTTTTACATAATTTTAAAGAATATAATTACTATAAATTACAAAATTTAAGCGAAGTGGTAAAAAAAAAATTCAATTGTAATGTCTGGTTTTTTACATCATTTTAAAGAATATAATTTTATACTACAAATTACAAAGTTTGCTCAAAAACGGTCGAATAGTTCTAAAGAAATCAAACTTTTAATATACGATTTTTTTTTTTTAAAGTTTGACCACTCAGAATCTATTTGACCGATTCCGTTCTAATTTTGTATTATGCCATTTAAAATTAGGTTTCTTTATATAATAAAATAATGTATAACTTACAATTCAAAATTTTTTCGACCATTATTATATTAAATAATTATAAAGTTTAACAAAAATTTCTTCACATGGGATTATCTTTAGATAAAGGAATTTTATAATTGCAAAAGTTTTAGATTAGCTTAAAAAAGTACTTGAGGAATGGCGAAATTCGCAAAAAAATAAAATTAACATTAAGTATTCTAAACTTTCGACAGCTCTTCTGACTAAACTCACAATTTTTCAAGAATAAGGGTCAGTAATCTGGAATCAGCTGGGAAAAAAAGGAATGTTTANTATTAAAAAAAAAAAAAAAAAGTATGTTTTCTGTGATTTTGTAACTTCAAATATCATCTGCGCTAATTAATTAGTATATTTGAGGGTAATTAATTAGTATAATTGCTAATTAATTAGTATATTCGAACTGTTAAGTTTAAATCATAGTACGTGAAAATCCGATCATTAGATCAAAAGTTATTCTGAACACTTTTAAGATCACGCAAGCATGTCCCAACTCTTTCCATTTATTTATCTGATTGATTTGTGTCAACAGAAACTGAAAAGTAGAACAGAGTACGGAAATGGCTATTCACTTTTTTGAACATTTTGTAAATTTGAAAAATATTTTTTCGTGTGCTGAGCCTATCGGAAATTTTTTAAGAATTTTCATACCAGCAGTTTTTTGCCGTAATTCATACTTTTAAAAAATTAGAAAAATTTAATGAAAATATTTTTTTTTTAAATAAATATGATATAAGTTTTTTTTTTTACATGAAATGCACAATGTGAGCAAATTTTAGTTCATCATAGCAATACATTTAAAAGTGCAAGTTCTGCGCTCTATTTATCTATTTAATCATCATCGCCAGAAAAGAAAAATTTTAATTTATTGAACTTCCAGTGGAGTACAAGTGTACTTGTTCACACTACGTGCAATCCTTGCTCACATGCTTCAATTTAAAAATGTGAACGGTGTCTGACACAAAATAAGGAAGAAAAGTAATCAATAAATAAGCTGAAGAATAAGACTAGATTATTGGAGATACCTCGCAGGTTCATAAACTGCATATTAATCTTAAAAAAAATAAACAAATATAAAAAAAGACATGCTTCTTATCGAACTATATCTCTAAAACTGTTCCCCCTTCTTTTTACTGTGGGTAAAGGCTTGTGCTCTGTGTCTGCTTGAACGGGAAAGTCAAAAGCTTGGCCAAAGAATACCTAAGGAGGCCTTTTCATTTCAATTCCAACCTTCAGTAAGGATAGGTTCGAATAGGGACGAAAAATATAGCACCTCCAAAACCAGTTCCACTGTCTCCCCTACATTTTTTGTGGGGGTGCGTGTGTTAAGTAACCCGAGACTAATCACTGTCACAGAAGGGGAATTGAAACCTGCGGGGGTCAACTAGCTTTCAAAAGATATCAGAAGAAACTCACTCTTCATCTTATATTATGCTTCTTCTCTTTCTAAGATAAACTTAAAAAATATTTTTTTTAACTCTAAAACGACTTTATTTATTTTCAAAATAGTTTTATCATTTTATTTAACATGCACTTTTTCTAATTATATCTTGAATTGTTTATTATTTTGATTTGATTATTTAGAGAACTAATAATAACCAGAGTATTTAAATTTATAAAATTTTACTATGTAGTCATATGAAAGTAATTCATATAAAGTAACTACATTAAAAATAAATTTATATTTTCTCTATAGATCAAATAAAGTTTGTTAATTTTTTTAAAATTGATTTGCTAATTTTTAAAACTTTTTATGTTAAAGTAAAACCTTGAGTTCAAGATTTTATTTTTTTATTACGTATTTAATTTTCTTCTTTCAATTACAATTCAAATACAAATATTTTTCACAATCTTTTTTTAATTTTAATTAATTTTTTTT